ACACAGCAGCAGCAGCACACCAGCAGCAGATTTGCAACAACAGCAACAGCACAGCATCACTCACAACACAACATCAACATCAACAGTTTCAACCGCAGCCCCCTCAACAACACCAGCAACAATTCAGCCACAACAACATCAGCAAGTCCAACAGCAGCAATTCCAACACCAACATCAAAATCTACAACAAATGCAACAAAATCAACAACAGATTCAAGGCTTGCAACCACAACTTCAGATGCAAATGCAACAGCAACAGCTTGCACAACAACAACAACAACAGCTCATCCAACAACAACGACAGCAGCAGCAGCAGCAACAGCACCTTCATCACCAGCATCAGACACCGCAGCCACAACAGCAACATCACCAACAACATCAGATGCACCAACCTTCGCAGCATCAAATGCAGCAACAGCCAATCCAACATCACCAAATGCAGCAACAGCAACAACAGCCACATATGCAGCAGCAATTTCAGCACCCCAAATCAACAACATCAACAATTACAGCAACCTCAACAAATGCAACAACAGAATCATCAACAATTTATGAATAATGTCCAAAACAATAACATGTACAATACAAACGCTTATAATAACCAAGGGTTTCAACAAGCTACCAGACCAATGAATTTACCTGTGGGTAAGTTATTTTGCAGAATTCAGTTAAAAACTAGAGTATAACTTGAAATAATATACATTATTGATCCATCTAGCTATTAAAAAGTATTAATGTTCATATTAGTTTAATTTGTTTATACAGCAGAAGAAAATGAAATTGTAGGGATTTTATCCAATCATCACCTTTTAGAAATAGATCCTTAGGGTCGATTGCTTACAGTTTCATTTTATTCCTGAATGTATCGACTTGTCAAGATGCGCAAAGATATTTTTGTTTTAATCAACCTCATTTTCTTTGATTGTATTACGATTTATAATTCAATTATACTTTTTTCTGCTCTTTAGGATCATCTCAAAATGGACCATACATTAACTACCAGCAGGGACAACAATCTCAACAAATGCAAGGACAAGTACAACAACTTCATCAGCAGCAGATTAACCAACAGCAGCAGCTTCCTTATCAACAACAAATGAACCAGGGTAATCATAGACCCCCAAGTAAGTTTGGAAGACTGTTGAAAATGATATCTAGAACTCCATTGGTCATCAATTATTAAATATTGAATACTAGTACTGCCTAATAATAAGAAATACTCTTGAATTTTCATTAGATCTGACTTTTTTCTAATTCATTTGTTTTCATTTTGTTATATTACTTAAAATAACTGTTTTTGGAAAGATTGCCCGAATTAAATGCTCCAGTGGCACTTAGTTACCACAATGAAATAGTTTATACTTTTATTTATTCTAATCGTTAATTATATTTTTAATGAGATATTTACTTGATTTTTTCACACTAAACTTAAAATTGGTTAAATTCACACTCTATTACATTTATTAGGATGCAGCAAGTTAGCTTCGCTATACTTGAATAAACGCACAATTTTCATCTATTACAACCTTATTACTAATATCTGACTATACTTTCTTCATCAGACAACATGCAACAAGGTCAAATTCAAGGAAAAGGACAATCACAACAGTTTCACCAGCAACAAATGAGAGGAATGAACCCTAATCAACAGCGGAATTTGATGCAATCGCAGCAAAAACCAAATGCAATGTTGCTAAACATGCTGAGCGACGTACCTGCAGCCAATTCACGTAAAGATCCGTTCATGTACGCACCAAACACGCAAAATTGTCAACAAGGGCTTCAAGGAGGGGTTCAAGGCGGAAACATTACTCAACAATGTATACCTCAAATGAATCATCAACCAGCAATGAAACCTAAACAGCCGCGTAAACGTAAAGGTACTGGAGATATTAAAAGTCCAGGAAGTGCAACCGGTCGAAGCCCAAAGCGTAAAATGAGTGAAGATGATTTTATGAGAGACATTTCAACACCTGTAAACGACTTCATGGAAAATTTTGGGGATCCCCAGCTGATTAACTGTCCATCACAGCGACCACCATCTTCTGATCCTATGGGTGCAAATAATCCAAATAATTCTGGGTATGATGTAAATTTTTCCAATGCACCCCGATCGCTTGAATCTATGTTAGCGGGTCCTAAAACTGAACCCGGTACACCGAATAGTGGATATAATAATGGATCTCAAAATTTAAACTTGGGTGATTTTACCGCTGATTTCAGCAACAGTTATCAGTACCCAAACTCCTCGATGTCCTTTCCAGGGGCTAACACCGGCCAAAGCCCAGGACCAGGTCCTGGACCCGGCCCCGGCCCTGGCCCTGGCCCTGGGCCCGGTCCGGGGCCCGGACCAGGACCGGGCCCAGGATCAAATTTACCAGATTTAAATGACTTTTCCAATTTTGAATATACCGACTTTGCCAACCCAATGTCTTTACCCCCAATGAAACCAAACAACAAACGTGGTCCTAAAAGAATGAAAAGTGCCGAAAACTGTAATGAAAATAGCAATTCACTTTCTGGTTTAAGTGAGGATGGAAGTAATGAGCAGCAATCTATAATGAAATCACTTTCTGATCTTCATAACTTGAACATGCCTGAAGGAACATCCTCAAACAACGCAAATAAACAATTTACTCCACCAATCGCTAAATCTCAACGAGGTGTCAAATCTGGAGGTACCAACGGTACTAGCAGTGATGGACGGAGGTGTTCATCAGCGGATGTTGATGCTTCAGGAATGACTGGAAAAAGAGGTAACTTTGGAGGATCAATTGAGGATGGCGTTGCACTTAAAAAGGAACGAAAACGGAAACGCGCTGAAAGTGTTGATAGTTTGAATAAAGCTGTTGTAGTTTCTTCTACTGCTGCCGTTGCTGGTGTTCTTATGCCTCCACCTATGATTACAAGTTCTGGTGAAGTAGCTGCTGGAGTAGGAAGTGCTTACAATTTCATGGACGTTTGTGCCAATGGTGGCTCTAATCAATCATTACCTCCAATTACTTTAAATGTTAAACCAGTTTTAAACACTGTTAATTCAACTAATGGTCCAACTGGTAAGATTAAAAGACCTGGAGTTCAAGGTTCGGGTTTAAATAAAAGTAAATTTGCAGACAGAATGATTAATAAACTAAAAGGGTCTCCTGATGCGAGTGAATTAGAAAATAATGGATCAGCTGCTACATACTCACCTAAATCATCACCTAAAGTTGGTTCATCTAAATCAGCTAAAATTGCCAAAGGAGGAGCTGATTCATCAGGAAGACCAATCAAACCCGGTCAAAAGTTTAGATCACAAAACTCGTCGCTTACTATCTCTAAAACTGTTTCAAACTCCACCGCAAGTCCTCCAGTTTCCTCATCCTCATCCTTAACCTCATCAGCTCCAACATCTTCTGGCGGTAACTCTGCAAAAGCTCAAGGAAACCATGCTAAATCATTAATCGCTCAGAAACGTCGTCAAGGTTCTTTGAGTGCAGTCATTGATAAGCTAACTCGTAGTACTAACGTTCCTGGAGGAAGTGATGGGTCGAATCCTGGAGAGGGTGTGCCTAAATTTGAAAACTGTTCTAGACCTGATAGTAGTAGTAACAGTGGTAATGGGCCCGGTGGAGCTCGATTTAATGCGAATACTGGAGTATCTAGTTCAATGAATAAAATAGCCGAAAGCAAGATGAAATATAGCCGCAGTTCCGATCAGTTTACCATGAGATTGATATCACGGAACACTTTAAAGTTTACGGTGACCAAAACAAAGCCATCATCAACAATGCCCGAGAATAGATCAAAGAAACCAGCTATTTCTGGTTCATCTAGTACCAAAGGATCTGCTTCCAGTACAACCAATTCATTGAAAACGAAGAGTGTTACTGCAGGTTTAAAAAGACAACTGGGTGGATCAGCTAAAGCTGGTCAAAATTTCAAGGGATCAACTCTGGTTTCTAGCTCTTCAGGGCCAATTAATTCACCTAAGCCTGGAACATCTAGTTCATCGCCTAAAGCTTCTTCATTATTCATGAACAATCGTTCAGTTGCTGGTAAAGTTTCTAGCTCAAATTCAAATAACAAATCTAAAGTTCAGTCAACAGAGGCCATGTTTGATGCTGCCATACCAAGGATTAGAATTGACCATTTGCCTAAAATACCTAGAACTGCAAGTAGCCAACAAGCAAATAATAACAACAATAACAACAACAACAACAGCAACAACAATAATAATAATAATAACAGTAACTCATCTGGGAATTCAAATAATAGTAGCAACAACAACAACAATAATAATAGTAATAATAATAATAATAATGGTGGTCTCAGTAACAACAGTAATTCAAATAGAAATAATAATTCAAATAATTACTCTAATTCGAGTAACAACTCAGCATCAAGTTCTAGTGCACTCTCCAATAATGCTATTAGCCATAGTGTTAATTTCAAAGAATCAGTATCTTCTGGAGTTGCATCAAGCAGTAACAATATGAATATACCCAATAACTCAAATGTAAATTCATTGAATAACAATAATAGCAATGTTAACAATGTAGTGATTCCAGCAAATAGTGGATCAAGTTCATCAAATATCCAACCACCACCACCACCTTCATCATCTTCGTCATCTATTTTCATGTCGAAAAGTCCATCTTTAGATCAACAACAGCAACCAGGATCTGCTTCGATGCAATTTCCCAAGAAATCTTTTTATGGCACCAGAGACTCACTTCCTAGTTCGACGTTATCATCCTCAAATGATAAACCTGATCACTCGATGAAATTCCAATCGTGCACAATATCATCCAGTCTTTCGTCTTCATCATCCAGTCAACCTACTCATTCAACTAGTGGTCACATTAATAGTAGTAATCTTTTAAGCCAACAACCTCTAATCACGTCTAATCCATCCAGTGCAAGTTCCAATTTTTCTATCAACGTTGTTTCTGGGAGCAACCCCATTATACCAATAAGTTCAGGAGTCACTAGCAGTATTATTGATAGTGAACCTAAAGTTAGTAACTCAAGTGAAACCAATACCAATGCTACCGACAGGTTGAGCGGTGTGAGCAGTTCAAGTGACTCCAAGTTAAACTCGACTAGTACACCAAGTTCACCGGCGGAAAGTTCTACTTTTAATGATGCTTTACAAAACCCTCCACTTTTAATTCCCACTGAATCCATCGAAGAGGTTGAAAGAGAACCAAGCGCCAATAAAGATTCAATCGATACAACATCAACATCATCAACAGCCAATGCAAGTTCAACAACTGTTGCTCAAATTGAATCTTATGGGCCTTCAATGGTTACTACTACTGTACCAACAGCTTCCTCCTCTTCAACATCAACACTTGCTTCTACTGTCAATAACTCACAGCTTCAGCAGTCAGCCACTAGTGAACCTCAAAGTTCCTCTTCAAACTTAATTGAAGCTGATGAAGATTATGACGACGATGAGGATGAAGAAGGTTTAATCATTGACTTTACCGGTGCGACTCCATCATCAAGCAAAGCGGAAAAAGGTGTAACATCGACTTCTAGTACTCCGATTTCAGCTAGTTCAGCTACTAATTCAGCAACTACAACACCAAGTTCTGCTGCTCAGGATGCTTTAATTAATGTTTTAACATCATCGACCACGACCTCATCTTCACCGATAATCGCTCAAATGTCCATCAATAATAACAGCGCGGTACATAACAGTTCCTTGGTTGATTCCGAAAATGTTAGTGGGAGTAATTTAGGAGCCTCTAGTCTCCTAGGATCATCCAGTATTGATGGCTCTGAGAGTGACGATGTTGTCAGTTTTAATAACAGTAGCAGTTCAACTGCCAACAGTAGCAACCATATTAGCGGTAACAATCAAAGTATTACCTCCAATAATGGTAACAACCCGCCGCCATCAAACTCTTCGGGTAACCTTATCTCCGAATCACCATCAAATCAGTCAATATCTAGCCTTGCCTCTCGACGATCACCTTACTTGATTGACGATGATTTAATGGATGAGGCACTTGTTGGATCAGCAGAATAATTAGACTTGACAAACTAATGGCGCCAGCACTTATCATTTTTGTCTTCTTCGTTCCAGATAATCTTTCCTTTCACCTAATGCTCTATCCTTAAAAACTATTTTCTTTTTCTTATTCCTCTTTTGTCTGCTTATCTAATATTTTTGTTTTTTCTGCCTTCACTGTGAAGTAATGCAACAAAAGGACGCTTATCCAAATATATATATACTATAAATAACATTAGTTGAATCCTAAATCAATCTAATTAACTCATCATCACATTAATTTCCAATAATTCATCGAAAACTGAAAGATATTCACATTGGTAAACATCACATTATTATCTACGTCATCAAATTTATCTTTCTCATTCACTGTCGTGATCATTATTGTTACATTTTCATCTTCTTAATCATCATTGAAATTTACATCATAACATAATAAAATCAAATAAAGGCCTAAATGTTTCTCTCATAAAAGTGTTTTCTTTTATTCCAGTACAACATTTGATTGAGTATTTTATGCAAGACTTTATTAATAAATGTAATATAATGATCTCTCAAAACGACTGATTTCAGTTTTATTTCAAAGAAATCACAATTTATGGCAAATGAGTGGAAAAGTTGAATGAGACCAAAAATTAAGTCAAATTTTACAAAAAATGACGATTGAATAGTATTAAGATTATTTGGATATGTCTGAATTTACAGTTTAGATCAAGTATAAAAATTTTTTTGACATTAGTTTTGAATATTTTAAGCTTATATCGAGATCGCATGTTAATCTGAGAGACTCATGCTGATCTCATTGAGCAATAGATAAAGTTTCTTTGAGACTATAGTGGCTTGTTTCATCTTATCAGCTAATTTACATATTTTTGCACGTTTCTTTTCACGAAGTTTTCTCATTTCGGCTTGTTTAGCATCATTTCGGGAGGAATTCATCTGCAAAACTTTCCAAGTGTATTTGGGATTCAACCAGAGTGGCTTCACCTGAAAATCCATAGGAATTAAAAAAGAAATGACATTAGTTGAAAGTAAATTAGCACTTATCAGTTTTTGATTTTGTGTGAAAAGCTTGTCAAGATCATTACAAAGGGTTAGCTGTTAATGAGAGTAACCAGATCAACAGAAATAATTGACAGGTAAATAAGTTCATCTCACGCTAAAACACTCTATTGAAGCCAATTTTTCGAGCAAAATGCATTGAAAATGATTTCAAACAAGTGTACGTAAATTGAATTTAGATAACTTACCAAATATCGAGCTGGTTGATAGCGTTTTCGTTTCAATTCATGATTGAATTGTAAGGATTTGAAAGTGTCAGAAAGTTTATTTGTATCACTGGGTAAACGGATGGATTGAGAAGAGGTAGTTGCTGATGATGTTGATGGTGACAAAGATGATGGATTTAAATTACTAATGAGAATGGTGGAATCCCTGGAAACTTCACTAGAATCAGCTGATGGTGACAGTGATGATAACAATGGTGATGTTAAAGTTGCGGGCAATGATGATGATGAAGGTACCGAAATTGAAGAAATTTGTTTCAACAATGTTGAGTCAATGAGTTGACATGATTGACCTGTCAAATTGATCAATAAAATAAATAACGTTATAAAAGTCCAAAATATACAATGTTGAGATGTCATTTTAAAAAAACTAAGAAGACTCTGAAGACGTTAGACACTAGGAAGGAAAAGAGAGAATGAAAGACAAAAAGACAGAAAAGGTCCAAACTTGGATGGAAGAAAAGAAAGGAGCAAAAGTAGCCAAAAAAAGGCTGAGACTGAGAGAGAAATGTGCAAAAATATTGTTGACTGGTTAACTCTGGGTTTCAGTGACTAGGCTGACAATAAAGATGCAAAGTCTTTTGCTATTTCTTGAGGAAAATTGTTTACACTCATTGTAAATACAAAGCAAGAAGGCAAAAAAAGATTAGGAGAGTCAAGTGAGTGAGAACATGGGAGGTACAATCAACATAATTAGGGAGCGAGACTGTACTTTTAAGTCAGGGTAAAGATTTATGCGTACTTATTGGCGCCAAGAGTCAATAATCAACTTATAAACAGAGTCACTAATCTTTTTGGACATCTTGTCTCCTCTGTCTGTCAATTAAATGAACGGCAGGATAAAGTCTCGAAGAAGAAGACACAGAAGAAAGAAATTGATGATCAATATGATGAAAAGAAAGACAAATTAAAAAACGGAGACAGAGAAACGGAGAGGTCGAGAGAGAAAGACAGACATGTAGACATGAGATATCAAGATCTGGATTCTGGATAAAAATGATAAGATTAAGAGAAGTAAAAGATTACAGATGAATGAATATTTTTTAAGGTGCTTCTCCCTTCAATGAGTATTGCATATTTATTCAGTTGCATCTTTAGATTCACTGACAATTTACTTTATTTCATTGTAATGAAGAACCATGTACATTGATCTTCCAAATGTTCATTAGTGATGAATAATGTAAATTATCTGCTTAAGTGGATTTAAACTTGCAGACAAAACCAATATTCAAAGTTAATTTGCAGGCGGCTTGACCAGTAATTTTACTAAAGACTTAGGTTTGTCTTTTCGATTGTTTTTTGTTTGATTTTTGACTTGTCTGCATGGAGCATGGAGTCTTATTTTGACTCCAGACGGTTGGAAGAGGTTAACCATTAGGTGAACCCAGCATTTAAAAGTAAAACAAACCAAAAGTTAAACTGATAAATTAAGCTTCCAGATTGGTGTTGCCCTCCAGTGTTTGATAATGAAACTTGTAAAGAGTTAACTGATTTTGTTTATTTTATCACTTTTGTTAAATGTTGAGTTGAATTTAAATCATAGTTTTGTTTCGCCATTGAATAACATTTAACTGACAACCTAATAAACGATTAAATTAACAGGTATGCCCAACGCAAATCAAATAAATAAACAAGCTAATTCCAAGGTAAGTATCAAGTTTACCCATCCACTTTTCAAGGTTTCAAATATACGAACGAGTTTCAACCGACTTCAACTTTTGTTTCTTACATTTTCATTACTTCTCCAGTCTCTTTTCATAAAGCCTTTTACCTGACCGTCTTTATTAAAAATCTATCGCTATGACATTCCTTAAGGTAAAAATGATTCAATTGATGACTATTGCTACCTGTGTATTTAATTCTCTCTTTGACTCGTAACTCTTATCTACCTTAATCTAGAGGTCTTTAAGTTGTATACTTTGACTAATCTTTGTCATGTTATGAAGCCAAATAATCGGAAAAATGCTGAAAGATCTTCTGATTTGTTAATCAATTGTTAAAGCCTTTTGGTAAAATAGCTGAACATTTGATCATTGCCATGAAAGGAAAGAGGATTAAAGCTGATTGATAAACACAAGTGTCAAAAGTTAATGTCAGCGTTTTAGGCATTTCATTATTTCCACCTCTTCACCTTTACCAGATTTTAAATTAAAATTGAACCCAACAAGTAATCTTGAAAAGCTAAACACGAGATGAAATACCAAATGTAATACTTTCACAACTTTTTATTTCAAAGATAAATTGTAATAATTTTTAAATTATCAACACTTTATTATCAAAGGGTGATCATGAGGTTTATTAATTGTCCCTAAAATCCATCAATCTTGCAGGAAAGTACTCGGCATTTTACAAATACGTAAATAATGTAATAATTGGCATAATGAGGCATCAGGTGTAAACAGGCTAACTCATCAAATTGACCAGTACTAAGACAATCACAAGACATAAAAGGTCAATCTAAGTTTATATAACTACAAAAGTATCATCAAAGTGCATCTTACTCAACAATTAAGCTGCTTTTCACGGTTAATAACCTTATCAAAAATGGTTAAGCTTTAGCAAACACCTTTATCTCGGTTGAACCTAGTAACTCATAGTTGCTTTAACCAGCCTATCATCAACATCAAACTTTTTAGTTTTGACTAATGAAGTCAGACAACCTCGAATTAAAATTTCCAATGCAAGTAATGGCTACTGTTACTGTTATGGTTAATGTTACTTTGATGGAGGACATTTTATCAACAAAGGCCACTTTCATTTTTCATTTTTTTCTTGATCCATTCAGATTCAATCGCAGTTATCAATTTTGTTGTTATTTTTTACTGCAATTAGTTTCGTGATAACAAACTGATTAACATGCTGATGATTATAAAAATATCATATCTCATTAGCTTCCTCCCTTCCCCTCCCTCTATTGCTTTAATATATACATTTACCAATTGTTAAAAGGTTCTATCTTCATTTCTAGCTCTTTCTCCTTCTCTTCCTTCATGCTTTATTAGAGTTGACAACAAACACTTTTTGTTACTTTCAACACTTGTTTTTCGCCAGTTTTCATTTGCTCACAGCAAAATGAACAATGATCTACACCAACATCATACTGTTCCAAACTTACCCGATTCAGTCAATTAGTCAATCAACATTCAATTGCTCCGTGAATAATTTTGTTTGCTAACAATCCCTACTTCAAACAATCCCCATCCAATATCTTTTCAATCTTTTCGACTCCTTTTAATCGATATCAGTAAACATTGTAAAATTTAGCAACAACTTCTATTATTTACCGATAATTGTCTTTGATTACCTATCTACCCATTATCCTCTGATATATACCCTACCCTTACTATAAATTGTCATGACACTGACAGTGGTGCAAGTAGCGATGCTTATTAATTTGACATTTTTCAAAATGATTTCCAAAGTGATGTTGAACTTTGTCATACTTTTCTTTTCCCCAGTTTTACCTAAACCTTTGCTTGAAAGTTTACCAACTTTACCTCCAACTTCACCGGTAACCTATCTTTACTATTCGTATGAACCTGGACTCGCAACATCATGGAAAAGGAAACAGATAACTTTCACAAGTAATTTTATGACTGAAATGGCCCCCAACACTAAGATTCGTCAGCATGAGGATCGTACTTTTTACGCAGATCCTTTTGTCTCCCCTGATAACCCATTGAAAACTATTGACAACCCAATTACTAAGCCATTGGAAACTCTGGTATCGTTTGAATCAAATGGTAAGATTACTTTTAATTTGGTATTCACTTGAAGCAATACCTGATATTACGTTAGATTTTCATTCGACGCCTAAGTAAATGTTTGCATATAACCATTAAAGATGATTTAGTTGATGTCAACTACGAAGAAGGAACAAGTGTATTACAGAGCTTTGTTTTGCTTTTGCTCTCTTAGCCTTGTTCAACTTGTCTCTGTATTCAACTTTTCCTCTCTGTCTCTCTCCGTTTCTTCCATCTTCCTCTTTCTTTCTGGCATCACCTAGCAACTTTATTCTCTCTCTTTTCTTTCTATCTTCCACGTTCACCATCAACAGGCTCACACCAAATTCATATTCAGTGTTTTCTCGAGGCATTTACTTGTCATTGCTTTTCTTTCTCAATCTAACTCAAAAATAAATACATTTTCTGGTGTTCTCCTTGCGCCAGCAAACCATCTTCCTCATTTCTTTCATTCATCTGCTTCCCATCTTGATCATCATTTGCAGGAGCAAAAACTCACTCCTTCAATTTTTCTTCTTCATCCTCATCCTCACCGGTTCCAAGAGTTTACTCAGAATCTCCATCTCCCTCTTTTTTTTCCTTCGTCAAAGTTCATACTCAATTGTAAACATACCAAAGTAACAGAAACCAAAAATTCAACTACTTTTCTCATCTCTTTAATCAGGTGAAATGTTACCAAGTTCACCGATAAACAATAATGGTATCGTAATTAATCAATCAACTGTTTTCCTCGGTGGCTCTTGTAATCCAACAACATGGAGAAAAGATATTGCCATACCTATGTTAAAAGCTTTAAACATAACTTACTACGATCCGGTAATTAGAATCAAATCAATTTTCAAGTGTTTTCCATTTCACCTCTAAAACAATTATCTAACATGTTCATTTAAATTACTTTTCATGTATTGCTCGAATCATCATCTGGACTTTTACTTTGATTTATCTACCGAATAACTGATCAATTGGATTAATTTTGTGACCGTTAACCTGCAACTCTGCAGCAAAAAGACCATTGGGAACCCGAATTGATTGAATTAGAAGATAAAGCTAAAAAGGTTGGAATATAATCATGTTTAGTGTTAATTGTTGATGTTTTGTTTTCAATCTTCAACTTGAAAGCTCTCACCAGAACCTTTGTTACTTTCCTTTCAATGTTTAAGGCCTAATATAACTTGCATGGTGCAAAACTACTAATCATCAACAATATTTAACACAGTTTTCCTCGTTCAATCCCAACTCTTAACTCAAAAATGTTCAATTTCACTTCAAGATGTTTTTTCCTTTTTTTCACTTCTCTCTTTCTCCCTTTCTCTCTCATTTTCTTTCTGTCTATTCCAACCTCAAGGCATTAAGCCAAAATAGACATTTTCCCCGTCACTGAATTTCTTTTTCAGCATCACCATGTCTTCATCCCTTTTTTATCAAGTTAACAACTAGGCATCACCATTTCCCTTCAGTTAACCTCTATTTCTTTTCCTAACGTCAACTCTTCAATTTTATTTTTTATTTTGTTTTTTCCTTTCTCTTTCTTGATTGATTTACAGATTGCCATTTAGTAGATTTATTTTTCTCAATTTTGTCGTTAAAATGATTCAGATGAACATTCGTAATCTCTTTTTACCCTTTTGATTCATTGGACATTAACATTTTGTCATATTTACCTCTTGCCAGTCTAGGTAATGGCTGGGTTAGGTTAACTCAAAGATTAAACCATTAGTCTTTGGGTTAACTTGGCTAATATTAACCTTCTGGTTGATCGAATGATCTCATTAGGTTAACTTTTCTTTGTTCAACCAATCACAAGATTTGCTTACATTAAGAGGCAGACATTTTGTTTACCAGTTTTACCCTTTTGTTGAAAACTCAACAGAAATGAAAACGCAGTTTGACTCTAGTGTTAATTGAAATCTAAACAGTTACTTTTATTAATCAGAAGGTCTATTCCACGTTCAATTGTAAATTTCAATTTTGTTTCAAGTTATTGCTAATATTAAGCATAACTATTCAGGTTCACACCATACACAATCTGTTCTTATTCCTCATCTTTGTTGATCTCTATTTGAATCATCATAATCACGGATCCTCATGTTTACCAGTAGATTGGTAGCAGTTATATTTACTCACCTTCATTATTTACAATTGTCAGATACAATCTTTACATTAAATTTCATTTTTTTTCTGTTATCATTATCATGACAGTTTACTCAGGTAGTGTTGAGAAATCTATTGACTGTGAGAGGCTTTACACGCCATTGTTTTAATTTCAGCTTGAATGGCTTCTGATTAGATTTTAACTTGAGTTGTGTTACAATTTCACTATGTTACCATCAATTGCTCTAAATTAATTGCAACAACATCCTGTAACCTATTAACCATGTAGTAAACTTCCCGCCATTTAATTTACATTCATAATTTAATAAGGTCATCTTTATTTGTCTTTATGATTGTCGGCTCTTAAATCAGTTCAGTTAACGGCAACTTATTTTCCATTGATAGAGCCTAAAGTGTATCGAATGGTGTGTTTTTTTTCACACAAATTCAATCTTTTAATTCATTTGTATCGTAAACTGTAATTTAATCTTGTTTCTCTCCTTCTTTTTCAGAATGCTGAGGTTTTATTCTTTGTTATTGACAATCAAACTCGATCGATTGCATCCATGATTGAAGTTAGCTTCATTGCTGCAACAACCAAGAAACTTGTCCTCGTCATTGATCTTTTCCCAAGTCTGGAACCAATTATTAATGGAGAACCAATCTCACAATAGTAAGTATCATTTCCAATAGATTATCATTAATTTTTAAATTTCAATTCTAACTATTCTTACCTTTTCCTTTATCTTTTAGTGAACATGATATTCTCAAAGGTGGACGCAAACTGTTAATGAGACTAGTTGAACGTAAAGGAATGCCTGTTTTCAATCAAATACCTGCAGCTCTTAATTATATTCCTATTATGATTGCAAGGAACGCCAAATCTCGAAATGAAGCAAACCTTTCATTTAAAGGTACTGATGATCGTCAACTATCTGCATTACATATGCTTACATCAATCCTCTCATCGTATGAATTAATCAAAATTAAAGAAGTCTACGATTCTTGTGCTGATTATTCTGGTAGCCTGTCTTTATTGGACACTAAATTAGCGTATTTAATGTTGACTGGAAAAGAATTAGATGAAACTTCTGTTCAAAATCTATTGGAATTGGAAGCTTCTGATAACATTACCAAAGAAAACTACTTTTCTAACCAATATAACTTTAATCATCATAATGTTCACCATAATCATCAACAATCCAACCTGTTTACCTCTAGATATCTTCATCCAAATGTGAATCGTTCTGTTGATCAAAATGTTCACCAAAATCAGTACCACATAAATCACAATCACCTCAATCATAGTCATAATAACCATTATCATAGTAACTATCATCTCCAAACAAGCCAAAAACATCTCAATCATCATAACTCACAGCCTAATGCTCATCACCACAACAATATCTCCAATGAATCTAATTTGTTAACAATGGGCTCATCAATAACAGTCAACTTTAAACAGTTCTGTACCTTGATATTTGATTATCTACAATCAACCAAATTCACCAAATCAACTTCTGATGGAAGCACACCTTTCGTAAACATTTCTTCCTCACACACACCACCAGCATCGCCATCCGTTAATCTATTGACTTCTCTAGTCAATTTACCTCAATTAGATGGCTATAATCACAATTATAGCTCTAAACAAGAAGATCTTAATGGAAATAATTGCAAGGTAAGATTAATTCAACACCGACAATATGTTAAATAATACCCACTAAAGCTGTCAGAAATGTTGTTATAAATCAGTTGAATTATTATTTTAATCTTCCCCCCAATCACTTTGCCAAATTATAAAACAGTAACCCAAGATTAACACTCACTTGTGATTTACGACTTTTACTTAATTGCTTACCTTTTCTCAAATAATAACATATTTTTTTATCACAATTACCACCTGATTATACAAAACGTTATACATTTTATCACCCAAATAGCAATATATAAAAAGTATCCTTGACTTTCTGAATTACTTAATCTATCAAACTGAAACCAATTTTTACGCATTATTCATCTTGATGACAATATTTGAACACTTGGACAAAACAAACAGTTAACTTAACGCTATTTATCATGTAACATGTGATTTATCCATTTATTGATCCTTGTAAAATAAAACTTGATCAGCAAAATGATTGTTCAACTAACATAACATTTTTCAATATAATCGGATTAAGTTTTATTTTAGCATTTGTTCAACTGTTAATCTCAACAAGCCAGGACTTTACATGATAATTCATATAAATCTGGTAGCTCGTTGATTTGATTGGCTGTAATTCAAGTTCATCTTGAAATCCAAAAAAAATGAGTTGAACTAAACTCACTTGATTCCAAGATGCTTTGCTACTTTAAGTCTCATAGTTTCCTTCAGCATTGTTGCAAGTGATGTTAACAGAGGTTAATTTGACTTTACATTTATCAAACCAAATCACAATCAATCCTTATTTAAATGATGATATAACTGTCCCAATTTGATTGTTCAATTTGCACTGATATTTGAAATCAGTCACATGTCGAGCAGCCAATTGAAGCTGAAAATCTCGTGCTATTAACCGTCACAATTGTTTACTGTTTTACCTCTCTGTTGGCGTTTAACTGTTTGACTTTTTTGCTTTTTTAAATGTAATCAGTGATTTGGATATGCTGATTAACATGATATTTTATTCCCACAATCAAGGGCAAAAGATAGTCTTGAACATTCGAGTTATTGATTATTTGTTTATTTGTCTGTTAATTTCCCATTCAAACCGTTCCAAAGCAGACAAATCAAATTACATCCGATTATTTTCTGGTTTGTCAATTTGCATCTCTTGTTGTTTAACCCAATTTATTGAAAATTGATTTACATTTCAAACTATTTCCTGACAATATCTGAATGAATCACACTTTACTTGAATCCTTTACTAGTTCATTGTTAACTTAATCAACTGATTGTATCCTCATAAGCTATCCGTATTAATCTCCCTTAAGCTATTATTTTATTTCAAACATTATTAGCAATTCGTTGATTCCTTGAAGGTCCAGCTGATGGTTCTAATTATATTAATGATGATGCTTAAGTACAGTGAAAGGAACTTAACTACCGTTAATTTTTCTTTTAAAATTAACTTTCTTTTAATAACTAACCAAGACTTCATTGTTGCTTCATTGAGAAGCTATTTAAAAGTCAAATTTAATTCCATAATATAATATTAATCCCAAGACAGGCTTCAATCCACCCTCTTTACTCAGCTCAATGAACTTGTCTTGAATTGTTAAAATGAAAACATTGAACATGAAACAATATTATTGCTATGCTTTTATTTCAGGCCTTAATTGCTATTTTAGATTTAGCTGTTGCTTACCAGCGATGCAATCAGATTGTAAAAAAAGTGTCTGTTTATTTGTGCATTATGATTAACTGATTTACCAACTCTATTTATCCTGTTAGCTTCCTCTCAAAATTTCAAGTCAACAAACTCAAATCATTTTGGGTCCTTGATCTCAATATTTTTTGGATGAAAACCTTTTTTTTAGCAGCAAAACAAACATATTTATTACACCATTCTGACCTAACCTTATACTATTTATTTGCTTGTCAACAATTTTTACATTCCTGATCTTTAATTTCAATATTTCTTCTTTTTCTTCCTTCATTCAGGATACAACCGATTCTCAACGGACAACCAAAGCTAAAGATATTTACCTTGCTGGATCTGACAATCCAAAAGGCTGGAGGACCAGCATTGCCATTCCTATGATAGAGTAGGTTTCCAATTTCGGGTCCATCAAGCTGACCATCTTTTTGACATCAGTTTTTATATGGACATTTATATGGTCTTGAATGTAGAAGCATGAAGATGATATTCAAGGATTTATGATTATGAATCATGCTCATTCCTCTGTTTAATAATTAGTTTTCTTGTTGGAGGTAACCATGATCTTGAGCAATAATAATTTGATTGTGATTGTCAGATTGGAAATCATTTATCCTGATGTTGTGTAACTTGTAGAGGGTAAAGTTGGCTTACGTGCGATTTGGTTTTAAAAATAATCATTCGATATGTTGTTTGTGCGTATTCAATTTTAAAGTAGATAATAGCAAATTTATTATCAAAACTATTTCACTGATTAGCATATTTAACTTTGGAAACTATTGTTATTGAGGATAATTAATACATGTGAACTTTTAATACTCCTTGTTGAATTTATCATCATTTAGATCAAATTGCTTCAACTCCTTATATGTTCATTGTTGATTAGGTCAAATTTGTCTACTCATTTTATGGTATACAACGGTTTTTCAATCATTAATTGATTCCTTTATTTCTCCCTTTATCATACAGCCAATCTAATTTAACTTATTCCATGCCAAATATAAACTCATCCACTGATTGGAATATAACGGGAAATGATTTATGCTCACTTGAAAGTTGCCGAGTTTTACTATTCGTTATTGGTGGCCAAAGACCTGAACTGGAAAACATGATCTTGGTTAGTTTAAATGTCTATCCACTAATATAAAACAGATTACTAACAGATCATCTTTTCTTAATCTAGGCTCCACATTATTTTGGTCAAAAATTTAAAGTTGTCTTATGTGTACAGCCAATACCTACCGAGAGCATTGCTCAAGATAATCAGGTAAATGAATTGCTTTAAATTTGCCAATTCAAAATGATCTTTGGCAGCCAAAATCAACTCTCAACTTCATTTAGATTTGAAATAACATATTAATTTTTGCTTTATTCATCATTAGATTTCCATCGCAGCGATTGGCGATTATAATCGGGGACGAGCGTATTTATCTGAAATGGCTCGAAAGGAGAACATTGAAGTGTTTGAAAATTTAGAGGAAGCCGTCAAATGTGCCATTAAAGCCGCTAAAAGCTGCCTAAACTGAACAACCAACATTCATAGAGTTATGAAGCAATACAACTGTTTTCTGAATTATTTTGTTTTCATGCTTCTGGTGGTTTGGATACAGATATAAAATAATGTCCCCCTCATGTTGATTCAATTGTAATATTTAAACCCTGTAACCATATCATGAACAAAAATATCTATTTAATTATGCTATGTTAATTTACTTGATATTGAAATATGCTGCTTAAAATAATGTAATTAAGTTTCTACATTTGAAATATACCTCACATCATTGTTTAAAATATGTTTGAAATCATTTCGGTTTTTCATTTCAATTCATAAATCAATTTTATATCTAGACTAATTTGATTGTCAGCTAATCTTGCAGTCAAATTTCAAGTTGATAAATGATTGGTAAAATTAATTGTGGTAAAATGATCGATAATTGAAAATGTCTTTTGAAATGTCAAATTAAAGTTATCATTTGATGTAAACGGATATAAATTGATTTACATTTTGATTCAATTTATCTTAATCAGATACATAATTAATTTTCCGTCATCACTTGAATTACCAAGAGAACTCCGATTGAAACCAGTTGAATATATGATTAAATTTATCAAAATTGATTAACATTAAACAGTGAAATTGTAAACAATTTACATTTGTTAGTGTGAAACTTTTCCACTTACTTTATGTATTTTTCTGTTATCACCAGATGTCATCGAAATCTGTAAGCATCGTAACTACCTTGGTTACAATGTTTTCCTTCGAATGTGTTTTTTTAGATGAATGTTTTGATTGTTTTGTTTCTATTAATAACAATTGATGTGATTGATTATCTTGGTATCAAACAATTTCATGGAAAAGGTTATTCGAAGAAGCTTCTCATCTAATTCGAGTGACCCAATCAACGTCAGGAGAAATGAGGTTTTCATTCAAATGATTTCCGAATCTTTCCGGAAAAAATTATTTGGCGATAAATTAAATTGTCACATTGATGGCAAAACTCTTGACAAAATCAAATCAAGTCTTGCTTCCCATGGCTTATGGAAACGACCAAAGAAAAAGGTTTGAAGTTTGAATGTCCTCAATATTGATATTTGTTCTGGTTATGGTTTTTTTACCGCCCACCTTTCTCATATGATTTTCATAGAAAAATAACAAGCAAGATGAAGATGGTCCCATGTATCCTTCTGAGCCCTTGCCGCCTATCGAGTTTAAATTACCTAAAATTGTTGGAAAAAATATCGAAGAGCATTTCCATAATATTGGTGAAAAATATTCCAAACCATATAAACTGTTAGCTGATGAAATAGCGACCAATCCTTTACCCAAGACACCAGATGAATGGAGTTTCACTCCTGGCTGGACTAAATATAAAAAGGACAAGTTTGGTAGGATGACTGTTTCTCAGGTCGATTTTCCTGATGATCGAGCTCTTATATTTGATGTTGAAGTTTGCATGAATGATGGATCAGGTAAACAACCAACTATGGCTACGTGTGCATCACCTGATGCTTGGTACTCTTGGTGTAGTCCAAGGTTAATAAACATAAACTATGAATTGGATGTTTTATCTACCAAATTCCAATCAGATCAGCAAAGATTGAATATAAATGATATGATACCAATGGGTAGTTTCCCAAACAATGAGCGTTTAATTGTTGGCCACAACGTTTCTTTTGACAGATCTTTCATTAAAGATCAAAATCTAATTGATTGTGATAAAACTCGATTTCTGGACACGATGAGTCTTCATATCAGCTTATCTGGACTTACAGGATACCAAAGAGCCCTTTCATTTTCTTATAAAGTGGGTAAGAAAAATGGAATGCACGATTTAGCCTTAAAAACAAAATTTGAAAATGCTGGACATCCTGATCCTGGTGGTTGGCAAGAACTTGGTTCTCTGAATAGTTTGAAAGACGTTTATGCTTTTCACTGTAAAAAAGAAATGAGCAAAGAAGAAAGAGACTTGTTTGTAAAAGGTTCTCTTGCCGATATACGTGACAATGCACAGCAATTATTCACTTATTGTGCTAACGATGTTCATGCAACTCATGAAGTGTTTCAACAAATCTGGAAACAATATTTGAATAGATTTCCACATCCTGTTACTTTAGCTGGAATGTTGGAAATGTCCGTTATGTATTTACCTGTTAACATTCAAAACTGGGAAAGATATTTAGAGGAAGCACAAACTGCCTATGATGATCTGGAAAGAGAAGTTCACTTATGTTTACAGTCTCTTGCTAATCAATCCTGTTCTTTGCTGAAAAATAAAGCTTACATGAAAGATGTTTGGCTCTGGGACTTGGATTGGTCCACACAAGAGTTACGATTTAAGAAGGAAAAAGTCAAAAAGCCTAGCAAAAAATCTTCAAAGGTTAACAAGTGTGAAGAAAGTTCAGAAGAAGATGATGTTGTTAAACAAGTATTATCAACAGAAAACAAAATTTCAAAAGTTCAACCTTTACTTCCTGGCTATCCAGCTTGGTACCGTGATTTATGTGATCAGCCATTCGGTGGCTCTAAACTTCGGAGTGATGAAAAGCTAATCAATTGGCAGCCTGGACCTTCATTAATTAGCACCTCTATGAGAGCTGCTCCTAAACTACTGCGAATGCTTTGGAGAGGCTACCCCCTTCATTATGATGAAACCCATAAATGGGGCTATCTTGTGCCTGATTCAAACTCATCAACACCTCATGGGAGCTTTCCTTTTAGCGAATATTTGAAAATTATCAGTAGCACAAAAATTTCAAAGAGTAATACAGACTCTTTGAAAACAGAAGACCCTGATTGGATGGATCAAGAGTTATTTGAGGAAAATATCAGTTTAGAGGAAGATGACAATGATAGATCAGCTATAAAAATGTTTGGTTGTAAATTTTTTCGACTTCCACACAAGAGTGGCCCTGATAATAAAGTGGGAAATCCTTTAGGAAAGGTATTATTTTTTGTTGATCCATTGATATCACAAATCCTCTAGAGCTTCTAATATTATTTTGTTTTGCCAGGAATTTCTTAGATATCTTGATGATGGAACTTTATCAACATTCTTGAAGAAAACTCAAGCCCAATCATTTCTTCAGATCAGTAAAACTCTATCTTACTGGAAAAATTCAAACAAACGAATTTATTCCCAATTGGTGGTTCCAATCGATTCTTCTGGTTCAACTGGAGCTTTGCTTCCTCGTGTCATTGTCGCTGGAACCATCACAAGACGAGCCGTTGAGCCAACCTGGCTCACTGCCAGTAACGCTGTTAAAGATCGTTTGGGAAGTGAGTTGAAGGCAATGATTCAAGTACCTAAAGGATATAAACTTGTTGGCGCCGATGTTGATTCCCAAGAGTTATGGATAGCATCTCTTATTGGTGACAGTCATTTTGCTCGAATCCACGGATCCACACCAATTGGCTGGATGACTCTTCAAGGAAGTAAAGCACAAAAGACTGATATGCACAGTAAAGTTGCCGAAATGGTTGGAATTAATCGTGATCAGGCCAAAGTTCTCAACTACGGTAGAATCTATGGCGCTGGTAAAGCTTTTGCTGCACGATTTTTGAAACAATCTAATGAAGATCTCGCTGTTGATGAAGCCAGAAATAAAGCAGTAAAAATTTATAAGCAAACCAAAGGAACGCGAGTTAATGTCACTGATTTAGTAAGTATTTACCTACCTGCTGAATCAATCGTTTCCAATTTACCAAATATTAAATTTTCCCGTCTTTTTCTTTAGGAAAAAAAGTTCGTAAGAAAGGAATGGCAAGGTGGAAGTGAATCTCAAATGTTCAACAAACTTGAACAAATTGCTTTATCTCCTGAACCTTGTACACCAGTTTTGGATTGTAAAATAAGCACTGCTTTACTCCCTATTGAAGTCAGACAACAATTTGTTCCCAGTGTTGTTAATTGGGTTGTTCAAAGTTCAGCTGTTGATTATCTTCACTTGATGCTAGTCAATATGAAATGGCTCCTAGAAGTTTATAATATTGATGGACGCTTTTCTTTGAGCATCCACGATGAAGTTAGGTACATGGTTAAAGAATCTGATGCTTACAAAGCCGCATTAGCGTTACAAGTAACCAACCTTTTTACTCGTTCAATGTTTGCCAGTAAATTAGGAATGTATGATCTACCTCAAAGTGTTGCCTTTTTCAGTTCAATTGATATTGATACTGTTTTGAGAAAGGAAGTTTATCTCGACTGTAAAACTCCTTCCAATCCTCATGGACTTAAACTTGGCTATGGAATTGATCAAGGTGAAAGTTTAAATATTTACCAACTTCTGGAAAAGCCTGAAATTCAGCATTTAATTTCTCATTCTCCAGATAAACCAACAGGTGGAGATGATAGTGAAAATGTTGATCCATCAATTATTTTCACTTTAATTCCTAATACATCAGAGAAAATAACTCAGTTAACTCAGACTTAAATCATGTAATTAAGATTGATTGTCAAGTCATAACTGACACTATTTACATTGTTTGTTACTTGTTTATTTACATTCTAGTTTAGTGTATTTATGTATTTTTTTCAAATGTTTTCTCTTGTTTACTGCCACATGCATGATCATGTAAATATGCATTTGTTATTTAATTTGATAATTTCATTCTCGAATGAGACAATTGTGGATAAAACATAAAAAATAGAAATGATTTCAAATGTATATTTTATATGGAAGAAAAGATGTACATTTTGTAAAAAGTTTCTGTATTTTTACTATACCCATGATCATTAAAAACACATTACATTAAATTGTTGTTTTTATTGAAAATTAAGTGAAATTATCTGTTATGTTATAACTGCTTGAGCAATTTTCAGAGCATCGGCTTCATTCAATTTACCTTCTTTCCGACTTTTTAATTCACTTTCAACTTTGGCTGCGAAATCAGCTTCACTTGATAAATCGTACAAACCAATCTCTTTAACCAAAGGTTCATAAGTCTTTGCAATTTTAACACATTGATCTAGTGGTATGCCGCAACTAAGACCATATTCAACTGCGGTTGGACAACCTTCAGGTACAACTTTCATCCCTTGATAAGGTCTTGAACAAGTACCACCAAGATAATCGGGTAAATTGGATGGATCAATGTACTCAGTTAATTGTGAGCGAGAGATAAATTTCAATATGGATCGCCCATTATCAGGAATCCAACTTTTAATGAAATTATATCCCAATCGTAATATTGGTGGTAGATCAATAATTAAAATGCGTTTGACGCAAGCAGGAGTATAGTTTTTGAGGACAACCACGGCATGTTTAACAAAATCAAATTCAGCATTTTTAATTCCACAGCCAGAAAAATCAATCAATATGGTAAAAAAGGAAGATTGACATCGATTCTCCAGATCATAGAAAAACTTGGAAGCCCATTTAACTGCGTGAGCCACTAATGGACCACATCTAAGGACATAACGAACCCTAATGTGAAGAGTAACATTTCCTTCCAAATCAGGTTCATAATCAAACATAGCGTTGACAAAATAAAATTCCTGAGGAAATGCATTGGCTGGTAAAGTCGCAAAGCCTTGAGTTTTACGCCATTCAAGGGATTCCATGATCATTTTAAAGGCTTCACCAGGAGAGCGGTTGCGAGCGATTAAAAAGCGCTTTACGTACCAATCATCGGTTAATATCTAGTAATAAGAAGACAAAAAAATGAAATTTAATTTTTATCGATAGGAACATATTCAATCTGTTCAAGAAATTAATCCATCTATTGAGTCTTGATTATGAACTGATTGTGGTTACTGAGGTTCAGAATAAGTTACTTGACCAGTAACACAGTACAATAAAATTATGATTCAATCACTCAAAAAGGCCTCAAGAAAATTTTTGATGAATGAATGAGTGAAATGAATCAAAATCCTTTGAAACCGTGCAAGGTCAAATTGGAGAAAGGTGTAGCGCGTGTAGAAAGGTTTACTGATGTAATACAAATTGACTAGTTTCATCTTTTAATTGCATTATAAATTATAGATTCTCCTGTTCACCTTGGTAAATTATTTATCTAAACATGTTTTTAGTGGTTATTTATAATATTTTTATAATGTAAATAATATTGAAACCCATAATCATTGAAATAACTTAACGTTAAAAGTTCTCAACTACTGGTCAAATGATGATGAATGATACTTCATTCACTTAACTAGCACGAATTAGTGAATAAAAAACAATAAACAAGTCAATGTTTCATTTCACGGAAACTTTCCACTTTTTTAACAATAATACTTGCACCTCAAAAGAAATACAATTTAGGCTTACACTATAATTGAAGGTCGATTTAAATTATTTCTCATTTTCATCGTCCATACGTTAGGACCTATTTCAATCATTCAATTCTTGTTCAGTTCAGCTTGCCACTGTGGACAAATTTCTTATTCATCTATTCGACCTTTATTCAAATTGTTATCAACTGATTGACGAAGGAAAATCAGGCAATAAAGTATCGCTTTCACTGTTGTTAGATAATTTTCTGGTGCTGAGATACACACTCATAAACTCAACCGAACTGACGCTGATAGATAATTACAATGGAGATTGGGAAACATTATTGGTAATAAATATTAAGTGAAAGCAACCAATTGCAGGTACTTACACGTTGTACATCCTGTTCATCGAATTTGTCTCGATTTTTTGGTAAAGCTGCCTGGAATTTATCCCGAATCTCTTTGATTGCCATAGAATCTTTGAGCTTCTTCTCCAAATTGACCATTTTTAATACGCGTCAATCACTTGTAAAGTAGCCGAGTTGTCACAATTTAAATAGACTGTTGTTTACACGGTAAATCCTCAACGAAGCTGGTGAAGCTACTTCTAGATGCGTACTGATCAACTGGCAACTGTTGAGATAGGTTTTGAAAACAATTAATATAAGACAGTTAAGGTAAAATGATAAGAGAATGAAAAAGAAAGTGATATCAAGAAGAGAAGGTGGTTAAATGATTAAAATAAACGGGTAAACAACCAAACAAGGCGAGTATGAAACATGCCATGAAAGTTGAAAACAGATACTACACTCACAAAAAAGGTGGACCTAAATCGGCCAATTCACATTATTATTCATCATTTTGATGGAGCTGAGGTTAATCATGTTGTTACTGATCATGTGAATATGAAGTAATTTAAGTTCCAAGTTTTCCAAGTTATAAACATCTTTCCTGCTACAATTATTTTTCCTGCAAAATAGAGGAGTTACCTTTGCCATTCTTTTCCTTTGATGATAACCAAATTGAATTTTGAAACCCGTTCCTTACCATGAAGATGAAAAGGTCATTCCTTAAGGCTATGATTGACCAATGAATCAAGTATATTTTAGCTGTTAAATTAAAAATAATAATGATTTAAAATTGAAATGCAAGTTGTAACGGTAATCAAATACCAACCAAGTATTTTGGTAACACACATAAGTGAAAAAACGTACTTACATTTTCCCGTTGGTTTATTTGTTTTGTATTATAGCAATATTTTACGCTTATTCAATCTTTCTGAGTAAAATGTAACACTCAATAATACTAACAGATTAATATTCATTGATTTTTAAGTGTAGATAGATCAAGCAATTAATAATAATAATAGTTATTGACACGAAATGAAAACGAAAGCAAACATAAAAAAATATAAATGGGAATATAAAAGAAGATTGAAACACGCGGTTTACACAACTTGACCCCTGAATCAACGCTTAATCATCACAACTCTCTTTGTTTGCAATCAGTTTCATTATGAAGATGACTTCTACTTTCAAGCCATGACCTGAAATCTTTATAATTACAATTAACCTTTCTATTTTTTGTGTATTTAAAGTCCATTATTTACAATTTATAAAGTCTAGGTCGAAATGACTTCTAAGCGATGTAATTAAATTTATTTTTGCTATTTTGTATCATTAACTTCAAGTCGTTCAATAATATTTTTCATCTATTGAAACTAAAAGTGAAATCTGTGCTTTGTATAGTGAAGTCTATTTTGACTTTCCCTTTTGCCTCAAAATTCGTGATTGACCTGAAAAAGATCGCTATTAAGTCAGAAAAATATCTGAAAAATTTGGTTAATGGACAAAAAAGATAGGATTTATTCCAGCTCTCCAGCAATCCAATTGTGTCTAAAGGTAAACTTGACATCAAAATTTCATGTGACAGTTTTATTTTAGCTTATATTTGACCATTTTATAAAACTGTTTGACCCTTAACCATAATTGTCTCATTGATAATTGACAGTTTAACTAAAAATTCTTAAAACATTCTTATTGTTGTCATGACTTGACTTTTCATTTGTTAACAGGTCAAGTTCAGCATAATTTACTCTCAATTGAGTTTTGCTCAGCATTACCATCAAAATAACCAAAACTGATTTAATGTAATGATTATTTTTTCATCTGAACTTTTCACTCATTGTTGCAATAATCAAAGAAAATCAGACAGTAGTTTTTAATAAAATCATTGTTTGTTTAATTAAAATGGAAGCTAGATGAATCTACATACCTTGTAAGTTGATATCTACATGAAATCATAACTAAGGTCAGGTCAAGATTTTCATGATTGACAAGCATATAATCACTAGAGAAAACAAACCTTAAATTTTATCATTTGAAGATTATGACACTAATTGTAATATTGATTCCATTCTTTTTCGAGGTGACAATTGAGCGGACCAACTGGTTGGCCTTTCCCATATTAGACTTGGATGGTACTACTAGTTTGAGGAATATCATGAATTACGAACACAAAGGCGAAACGAAACGACGATTATCATGATGATCACAGCCAGGGCCAGGGCTGTAAAGATGAAGAGAAGCATAAGTTGATTAGCTTCGTCGTCCATTATGAGAATTTGTCTACGAAATTCTGATGTTTGGCAAGAAATGGTTAACAATTGATTGGATACTGATCAAAGATTGCAATCAAGAAATGGCAAGCAAATACTGATTGAATGGCCCGAAATAAAGGAAAGCAAACAAAAAATTTGGATCCAATTTTGTATCATAGAGTCTGCGAAATCTCATCAATATCTTCATCATAAACATTAATGTCTTTTCTGAACCATGGGAGGAATGGCAAAATATTAAATCAACAGAATCTCAAAAGTTTAATCTCAGATTAATTGTTTTGAGAAGACTTCTCTTCATGGACGATTTTTTGAATGATTTGGACTGACTGGATTTGGAAGTTTCAATTACTATTGCCTGCAAAGTTGAATGTCAACAATGTACTTCCATATTTGTTGATACAGTTTTCTTCAAAGCGTTTGATTTTATGACTAGAAATCATTAAATCACCAGTTCACATCAATTAATTTATTAGGATAGTTGAATTGAAACACTTACCTGATAATTGTTCTTTATATTTTGTTTCAATCTTAATCTCTTTGGTTATTTTGATAAACCTGATCTGGAAACCTTATTAAATTAAATTTCGTTTAATATTTTACTCAAAAATGTACATTTTTGCGGATTCTAATCCAAACCTAATCTTATGTATTCCCAGTTAACCCAGGCAGAAGGGCCTGGGACACGAACGCTGAAGGCAAGGCTCATATTTATAAGAAGTTTTATGCTTGTTCACATGTAAATATATCAATTGTTGTCTTAACCATTCTTTTCTTACAGAATTATTTGAATAGTTTGAGAGCTTTTTGCTTTATGTTCGTTGATTTTCTAATTTGTCAATTTCTCTTGTAACATGCAAGTCTTTCAACTTATTAATATCTTTACCTTTGACTAGTTTCTTAACTGTAAATGAGTTCTTTATCAGCATCGAGAAATTTCAGGTATCTTATCTTTATTTATATGGTTCCAATTCAATATATTGGTACATTAATGGCGTTTATTAATATTATGCTCTTGAATCATTGAGGTGCATTGCACTTCTGTCTGACAGAAAGAAGTTTTTCTCATAAAAACGTGAAGTAACTAGTTAAAAGAGAGTCTCTGCAAGCTTTTCTTGAAAATAAATTGCTGGTGCTTTTGATGGTTCGTGTAGCCAATGATAGCTCATTCATTATGCTAATGATGAATTTATTATCAGCTAATTCTTTTTTGAAAACTTGGACAATTAGCTCGTCGGAATATTGGAATAGGTTCTTTGGACTTTTTTAACAAAACGTCTTGGTACAACTGTTATATTATTATAACTTATGGTACTTAACAACTTTGATATATCTTTTTTAAAGACTACTTATACTCATCATTGAAGTGAGTTTGTCAAAATAATGTTAATGTTGAGATCAAAAACAGAATCATGGTCGACTAAAACATAAGAATCACGTTTAATCAAGTTAACGAGCAACTGATTAATATGGACTGTTCAATATCAAAGCTCTTCACTAGACTTTTAGGGACTTTGATAAATTTTCATGCAACTTTTTTGAATTCAGAGAAGACTCATGAGGTAATTACACGCAAGATTTGGTCTACATTCAGATTGTTATGAGTGAAATCATTATTTCTATAATCTTTTTACAGTACATGAGATATCCAAGAGGAGTACAGTCAAAGGTTTGAATTAAAGTGAAGAATTGATTCTTGACGAGTTTCCAGATTTTTATAAAAAAGACCGAAATGGGAATGAAAATTTTCTCTAATAAGCTAAATTTTCAAAATCAGAAATTAAAGTTTGAATGTTTCTTTTCAAGGCTGAAAACAAATATCACTCATGGTTTTACATTAGGTTTAGCTTTGATTGTAAGCTTAGTGCAAAAGTATTGGGAAAATTCATTTTAATTATGAATTATGACAATTTATCAGGGTTTTAAGTACCAACGTAAATTGCTAACTCACTTTGACACAATAAATTGAATAGAAATTTTCACGATAAGATTTCTTTATTAATCAGTTAATTGCCATATTATAGACGATTAACATTGAAAAATAGTAAATGAAGTTCAAGTTTTCATGAACTAAATCATGAATATCTCATACTAGGAACAAGATACATTGAAATCGGGTTCAACTAATCTTCAAATAATAAGCTATCAAACTAAATTATGACTGTCAAGTGATCTTTTTATTTCGAAGCTAAAATTTGTAAATGTTCAATTCCTAATACTTTTGCACTAAGCTTCATCAATTGTGTATAAAGAAGTCGGTATCTTCGTAAGCATTAAGCCAGTAATTAATGAGTAATTCCTTACGATTGAATTAACCAATTAATTTTTTAAGTTATGCTTCAAGTTTGGGTTGTCTTGTTCATTTTTTAAATAACCAAATTGTATGTCCTATTGATAAAAAAGAAAAGCGACTGATTCAAGGAAAAATTGAACGAATATTAAAAGATAAATGAGTTTTATTAATTGCTTGGTGAGTTCACAATCACTGAAGAAGATTGTGTTCTTGTTGATTTGATTCACAAGAATCCGATTAAATAATATCAATAATAATTATTGTAGATTGAAAGTTAAAAATTGATGTTGTAAGATAAATTGATCATTGTAATCCAATTGATTTTGATAATACAATTTTGCGATAAAAGTGTGACCATGATTCAGTTTGGGTTGAAAGATTCCAAATGAGATGAAATGATTAATGGATTAATATTGCGCCTTTAATCAGAACCATTCTTCAAGAAGATTCGAGTCAGTAATGAAATTGATAATTAAAAAGTTAGAATTGATCGCCCTTTGATCAAAATCCAGTTTTGATGCTAAAAGGGTCATATTTAAATAATTGTTGTTCGAAATTTGATCAAAATAAAAAAGTTAAATATTTCGAGGAGGTTTTTTCTCCAAAGTGATCAAATCGTAAGCGCTGAGTTTACGAACTAATTCCACTAAACGAGTTTCGGCATTACTTAAATCAAGACAGGCTTCTGGGTTCTCAGATATTTTCAGAATCAGATTTTCCAAGCCAGGCCGAAGAGCTGCAATCGATGCTGCCACTTCAGGATCCATTTCTAAATCCATCCAGCGATCTAATTGAACCAAACCATCGGACCGAACTTCGATTCTCTTACATCCAAATAAGATTAGATGAATTGGTGTAACCATGGATAATTGTTTACAAGAAACAACTTTGGTTCTCAATTTTTCGCCAAAAATGAAGAAAGGAGAAGGAAATTTTTCAGGTAAATTGGTGAAATTGACTGAAGTTTTGTGCATCAGCGCAATCTTAGCTTCTGTTGTTAAAACTTTTCGTTTATCTTTATGGAGACACACATTGGGATAATAACCTAAGGTTAATAAACCTTGAAGTAGATCAACGTCCGGATCATAAAGTTGCGTGTTACTATAGGTTCGTTCAGGAAACTGAGTGTTTTTGATTAAATCAACCAGCTGATTCTTAGCATCATGAGTGATTCTCATTACACTGGGCATAATTGCATTTCGATCACAAAAATCCATTGAAGCCATTTCTCCTTGAGAGTATTTAACGCGTTCCCAATCTAGATAGGTGTTCAAAATAGCGATATGGTCACTCCATCGATCTTGTCGGTATTTTCTGTGAATGTGAAAGAGTCGTCGAGCAAAACTTGTGTCAAACACTTCAGGAAATGTGCTTGTATTAGCAATGATTACAGCCATGAGTCCACCAAGTTTAAAGACACATGAAAGTACAAGCATTTTCCCGAGACGAGGTTCAACTGGTAAACGAGCAAGAATCCGACCCAAAGAGGTTAATTCACTTTTTTCATCTAAAGCTTTCAATTCTCGCAGTAGAACTTCTGATTCAACAATTGCATGGATTGGAGGTGGTTCAATAGCTTTAGAGAGGAAAGTTGTGATTGCACCAAGGCGAAGAAGTTTCACCATTAATGCCAATTCATGAAGAGGAGTGCGAAAAATTTCTGGTGGATGAAACTCTTCAAGCTGCTCATATCTAGCTCGAGAACAGAGGAAAAAACAGTAACCAGGGCGAACACGTCCAGCTCTACCACGTCTTTGTTTGAGATTTGTTTTCGATGCCCAATCTGTATTGTAAACTGTCATGTTATTGTGTGATGTAAATAATTTGATTTTGACTTTACAAGTGTCTATAACAAACACGACATCATCAATTGTTATACTTGATTCAGCAATATTGGTGGAAAGGATAACTTTAATTACTCCGGGTGGAACTGGTTCAAATACTCTTCTTTGTTGATCTCTAGGAATTTGTGAGTGGAGAGGTAAAATTCTGAATCGCTGAGAGTTGAAGAACTTGATAGATTCAAGATGTTTGACGAGAGCAAAAATTTGACCCCAACCTGGTAGAAAGATTAAAACAGATCCATGGACTTTCATGCTAGCAATATGCGCAAGCAGTGCTTCAATCAATTCAAAGTGAATTTCTCGTTCACTCAATCGAGCCATAACCGATTTAGTTTCAGGTAAATAGTTTCCTGTAACAACAGCATTCAAATTTTCTTCGGGCTCTTCTGCGGGTACATCATCATCATGACGCTTCTTACGATCATTTGGAGTTGGTCGAAATTTAGTAATCTCAACACAATCTTCTAAGAAATATTCTGTAACGGGATGAACTTGACCAGGAATCTCAATAACGGGACAGCCTCCGAAATAATCTTGAAAAATGGTTGTATCAATTGTTGCTGACATAAGGACAACTCGTAATTTAGGAAAGTTATTGATCATATCACGAATGACAACCAAAAGAAAGTCTGTATTTACATCACGTTCGTGAACCTCGTCAATGATAACATGTGAAATACCTCGTAAGCCATTTTCAAGTTTTCGCAGTAAAACACCAATGGTGCAAAATAAGATGGCTCCATATGGACGAGGCATGAGAGTTTCAAATCTAACACTGTAACCAACAGAAGCATTTTGATCTAAATATTCACTTCTTTCTTGGATGAGTCGTTCGGCGATAGATACAGCACTGATTCGTCTAGGTTGAGTAACTATAATGTTACATTCCGCACCTTTACCTTTGGCGATATAATCATCCAAAATAAATTGAGGTATTTGCGTTGTTTTACCACAACCAGTAGAACCTCGGATGATAACTACGGGATTATTATTTATAGCTTCTAAAATTTGGTCTTTAGAATTGAAAACTGGTAATTTTGATCTCTCTTGACTTATTTTAGTTTCTCCGGGAGGATTTTGAGAGTTTGTCACTTCCATGTGGGACACGTTGTCTTGTATGCCTTCACTCAACTGACGTAAACTTAGTCGACTGATGGGTCCTTCGTCAATGTTACAGCCTCTCCAAGCATCCCAGTTAGGAATAGGAGGACACCAACTTACACATGCTTGACTCATTGAGGGTTCTTTGCTTAGCACAACTTCATGTTCTGGTACTAATGAAGTGAATTGATCTGTATCAGAGCCTCCTTCACACATAGGTGTTCCTGAAGGAATACGAACGGGTATTCTTTTCAATCCATTCTCAGCAATAACTTCGTTCATTTCATCCAAAAGTTCTTGAGGAAAAGTGAAAGCATAAGTATCAACCTGAAATATAAAATTTACACTCAATGGTTACTAAAAAGACGATTAAACTTCCATTTTTAAGTACCTTCGTTGCGGTTTTCTTCTTGCTTTCCCCAGTTGCATTGTAAGCTTCAATAACTCCGTAATGATATAATTGACGCATTAATGAGAGAGCACAAGCTCTTGATGCCAATTGCTTATTGGAAGCATTTTCTCGGGCCATTATATCTTATAATAGGCAAAGAATTGAAAATTAATTAAACGTGCTTGAGGATGTTGAAAAAGCTATCCAAAAATGAAGTAAAAATATTTTAAAACCAAGTCCAGTATCAAACATGATTAGATTAATAAGTATTTATTTTGACCTTTAATAAACTATTGAAATAGTTGATTGCAAAAATAGTTCAAGATAATTTGCGATGATTGCTGATAGGATTTGGCTATCAATTTTTAGTCCATTTTTGGAAGCCTATTTTTCATAGTATCTTTTAAATGCTATCAATTATGCTTACTTCGTCCAAGTTTTCTTACAGGAAATGAAATCTCGCAAATGTAACTCCTGCATGGCCGCAATAGATAGGTTTACATGATAGTGTTATTTAACAGCTCCAACCAATATGATCCTCTTCAGAATCACAGGCATGATTTGAATGAATACTTTGTTGATGGTCTCTTTCAATCAAAAAATGCTGGTAAGAAAAGAATTAGCAAAAAACTGTTAATTTGATTGTGAGTGACCATCAACAGAGCTATTTTCATCTCAATTTTCTTCCTCTCCGATCAATTCACAAGTTAAAATGATTTTTCAAATCCAACAAATCAACAATACTCAAAATTACGATCCATAAGGTGATAGAAAATTCAATGTCAATTTTTCACTATACCAATTAAATGGAAAAATGATTACAAATGAAAATGTATCATATAAGTAAAATATCTAATAAATAGAAGTAAGAATGTTTTTGAGATTATAATGAGATTCTAAAGAATTATGAAGTTTTCAAAATCAACTTAACCAATTAAGTGAAGATCGGAGAAAATATACCAGTTTTCGAGCCTATCGTTTGATTGATTCGTCGATAGACACAGTTTATCTTCCTTTCTATTAATTACGGTTATCATCATTGCCTAAAGATTCTGAAGAGGCTACACGAATAGACCAAAAATACCACATATTTCGAATAGTGTGTTAAGTTAACCTTATCTTACCTATTATGATCAGGTCCAACGGAAGAATATTTATAATCTAATCTGATTTTGTTTGCTTGAGCAAAAACATGAAGCTGTTGTTTACAATTGTCTAAAGTCCAGTTTCCGTGAATCCCAGAGTTGACATCTAGTTCTTCTGCTTCTTCAAATTTTCTCTTTTGAGCTACGCGATCAATATAATCTTGATTTAAAGTCTCTTTGATACCAATAAATCCAGGATCGTGTCTTCTGTCTTGCGGATTAGGTTGTCCATGAGGACGGTATCCAGAACCAAAACCTCCTCTAGGACCAAAACCAGAGGAAGTTCCATAACTTGCACTAGCTCCTCCACTTTCATCCATTGAACTTCTCGCTGGTCCAGAGCTTTCAACAGATTCATTCATATTGAAAGGTAAGGAAGACGGTTCGATCTTGCCCTCGCGGATCAGGTAATTCACAAAATCTCGAGCTGCATTGGTTGCAGCATCTCGTTTGTTGGTAGAAATACCAATTCCCACATAAGCAAAGGAAGGCACTTTAACCTGATAATTAGTGAATAAAAGACAGCAGATTAAATAACAATTCATTTGACATTTGAATAAACATAAACTGATAAAGGTACTTACTTCACATTTGAATTTAGGCATTCGACCAGTTATGTTACAAGTATCATAAACCGGTGTAAGCTTTTGTCTTCCACACCAAGCATAAAGAAACTCCTTAGGATTATCGGTCATGATTACCACTGTTAGAAATGAATAACAGAATTAAAAACCACTTTTCTGATGGAATTAGGATCAAAATTATTAAAATATAATTAAAACAAATGATTGAACAACTCAAGTAATTTCAGATAAAACATTTTGTTGTTGATCGATTTTCTAATCTTTGTCACAACATGAAACTGAAAGCTTTAAATTGAAGCTTCAATTACATGTAAGATAAAGCCATCTAGTGATAGTAAAGAAAAGTGCTCTGTCAAAACATTGTTTTGAAAACGATGTTAGACGACGAAAAGGTTTTGTTATGATTAATATATTTTAATTTATTAGTTTATTTCTGAATTCAGTTGATTAATTTTACTTTAGTTAAATATTTCACCTTGGTTTAACAGTATTGGTAGATCATAATTCAAGCTTAAATGCCATCCGCAGAGTATTTATGGAACAACAATTCAACATTAACCTTTTATTATACATTCAAAATTATCAACATAATCGCTGCAAATTGTTTTAATATTTAAATAGCTTATAATCTTTGAAGATTTAACAACTTACAATGAATGATTAATCCACCAAAATCAATCAATAGAGTGACGTAAATGGCTATGGAATAATAACTTTCATGATTAGTGTTTTTGACATAACCAAACAAAAAAGCGAACTACAAATGATGCAAAAAATGAGACATAAATCAATGTCTCATTAATAATGAATTGAGCTTTTTTCTCATGAAAATTATCTCATTAGTGGCTGAAATCAGATAATTGTTGAGTAAAGACACAATTTATTGGACTGGTTTACCTGGCTGTCCATAATTATGTCTTTTATTTTGTTGTCATTTCATTAGTCCAATAAAAAAGGGTAAAAAAAGTAAAAGCATCATAATAATGCTTTATTTCATGGCATTTTGATTATGGTCAACTGTAAGTAGCATTAATAATCAACTGATCAAAATCTAGTTACCAAGGTAAACCAAGAATCCACAATTCAATCACAATAATCACTCTAAATCAATGAATTTGATTATCAAGCTAACCGACAAAAACCGAGTAAACCTAAATCTGTAAATGCACCTTGACCAAATCAACATCCAACCAATATCTTGAAACAGTAAACAGTGGACATTAAATTTTAACCTAATTGTTTCACCAACTCAATTAAGACTCTTTCTAAACATGTTTTTTAAAATCTAATCATTTAATTTGATTCACTTCTATTAACAATAATCAAAAATCACCAGCAACCTTAAGACTACTAACCAAATCTTGGTTAGTAGAAAGTGTTTCAAGTTGAAAATGGCTTTCAGTGATTTAACGGTTTACGGCAAGATTTCAATCATTTGTGCTACAATCATCGGGTTAATTAACTTAACTTCCATTGGTAAGTCTTAATTGATTACAATCAAACCCTGAATCTACCTTTGGTAAAAAATAACATCTTAAACACAGACAAGGCTAGAAAAGGTTAACCCAGAAAATGACTGAAAAACCTTTTTTTACCAGAGTTTTCAAGCAAACCTTTACATTGCCAAAATTGGTTCCTTCTATGCTAATTAGCTAATTGATGGGTTGATAAATTTTAAACAATAGACATTGTCAAGATGAAATAATAGGTTTGTTGTTAAATCGAGATGAAATACAAACACAAAATACTAATGTAAAGAAATGTAAAGAAAAGTAAAAAAGAGCAAAAGACGGTAAGTATAATGGCAATAATGATGATAGATGATTAACTATTCTGGTGAATAGTGGCTGATAATGAGGTTGATGAAGATGATGAGGCTTAGGTAATTTTCACTATTACAGGGTAAAATAATCTGAAACTGAAAGCGTGATCGTCTTTCATTAACTTGTCTTTTCAATGTCTTTCCCATTGAAATACAATAGAAATACAAGAAAAAAGTGTTTCTATCGAAGCAAATTTTTCTTTCCACAAATCCAACTGATCTTCTTTGTTTAACAAGCTAAACAATTGTCACAGATTTTTAATTCACTTTCATTATCATCATCTTTTTTTCATCATCTTTTGCCTCATCTCTTACCCCATCTTTTCACCATTTAGCTAATGTTATTCACTACTTTGATTCATGAATGTAAACCAGTCAGTGAAAGATGACGAAGATTTGGCAAAAATTTCCCTTGAGCTTATTTTCAGATCTTTTAACCATTCAATTTAATCTTTGTACATTAAAAGGTAAACGACGAGGAGTATGATGATGATGATAGATAAATATGAAGACAAGCTTATTCGTGTCATCTTTTTCATCTCATATTCAGCTATGAACAAAAAAAGTGGTTGAGATTGACAAAAAAACAGGCAAATAACAAAACACTTTTCATGTTAAATGTGAAGCCATTTTGCTTAGAGATTCAACTTTTCAATTTTTTTCTTATCTGAGGTATTTTGTTGATCATTTCAATTTCTCATTCAGTTCTATTGATCTGTTTACAGATTTATCAAGGCTGGTAACTGTTTAAAATTTATCAAGATGCTAATTGATGAAACTGTGTCTGTATTAATTGTTGATGTTGTTGTTGATGCTTTCCAATTCATTTGTATTTGCTAATGTTAGGTTTGGCAACAAAGCCAGGGTTTGAAATGATAAACGATTAGTTATTAATGGGCCATGATAATTAAACAACTCATTTGGAACAATTAATTATACATTTTGTTTTCCTAGTTTTACTATGTATTATATTACACACATAAACAATTAGTTAAAGCTTTTGCCATTTAAATTTGATACATACAATAATGAAGATATAATCAATGCTAATATGACTCTTTACGTTTCTCTTTTTTTTCACCAACCACTTTTTTTACAGATTGTCGCGATTTTTATGACCAATCAACACCAATTTCAAAGGAAATTTTGATTGATTTAAATGATCTTAACCCATCTGAACCCATTTTCAATCCATCATCAGTGTTTCCAGCCGTGAAAGTTGATTCCTTAACTTCAGTTGAATATACACTTAAACAAAATAATGATCAGCAGAAAAGATTCACTATTGATAGATTGACTGGCGACTTATTTGTATCCAGTGTGGAGCGATTGGCCGAACCAATAGAAACGTTGATAATAACTCGAAAATATAATCACAATTCCAATTTACCTAAAAATGAAGATAAAAGCAAAATAGATGAGATTGAATTAACCGTTAAATTTGGTGGTTTGAATGAGATAAGGCGAGTTAAACGAGCAGCTAAAAATGATAACACTGAAGCTCCTCGGCTTCAATTTAACTTACAATTACTTCGAGGTGATACTGAGGCTTGTCAGCCTGGAGATTCTTTAGATTATTCAGTTACAGTTCAACTTCCAAAAGGTAAAGAAAACGACTTGTACATTGAGATATTTACTCGGAAATCATTGAATCCGGCTCATGTGCCCATTTTAAGTCTTTTTAATGTAACACTTTCCCATGATAAGAAAATAATTTTACCAAAGTCAACATCTGATCCAAAATTGTCAACAAGTAAAACAAATCCAAATATTTACGATCGGGTAACCATCAATTTGGACGGAATTGAAAACACTGGTTCCACTGGTAATACATTGACGATAAAATTTTCAGTAGTAATGGCTTATTCAGATGAGGCCAAGACAGGATCGAAACATATGCTTTCCATTGGAGCCGAGTATCAGGCAAATCGATTCATTTGGATTGGACAAGATCAAATTATTTATAACAAGGCGAAAACGGATCCTGTTATAACGGGAACTTTGACAGGACCTGAAGAATTGATTCTTGGTTCTGCAGCAGTTTACTCTCTCCGTACCAAAATGGCTTTGCGATCAGATGTTATAACTGTTGAAGCAACTGTACCTAATCATAAATGGGCACCGGAAAATAAAATATCTCTAGGTCAGATTGGTATTGGCGCAATGGGAAGCAATTTCGCAGCTTTACCAAAAGATCCAACGCATTATGAAATTGAACGATTCAATTCAATCTCGAAAAAATCAGTTTATCGTTCATTGCTTAAACTTGGTGTGACAACGTCATTGGCAGCGTCAAGAGGCCATTTAGAAAGAAATACCGAAGATGAGGCCAATACATTTGAATTCAAGATACCAGTTTATGGATTAACTTATGATGTAAATAATGGAAGTACAGCCAATTTAACAGTTCGACTAGTTTTTGGTTCAAAAGTACGATTCACTCAAACAATATTGATCAAGCTAATCTCAAAAATGTCAGCTGCATCTTCAACACCAGTCATGTCTTATTCCCCTGTAACTGGATTAACTGGCGATTACTTACCAAAAACTGTTAGTCCAGGTGATTTAACTTCAATCTTTTTGAATGTAACACTAAGTCAACCAGAAACTTTAACAGATCTTGAGGTTATCCTTAAAGATGCCGGACCAGGATCGTCAATTGACTCGTGTGGTTGTCAATTTTTGCCAGGACAGTCAAGTCCTAATATACCTTATCTCAACACATCTTGGTTTCAGCCCAAACAATCACAAAATGATTTAATCTTCACCTTTGAGAAGGTAAACGTTGTAAATCTTTATCCTAGTTTAACTGAAAATATTGTCAGTATTGAGATGGCGGTACAGATAAACGCAAATGAATCCTTGGGTGGAGCAATGATTAGCATAGAGGTTCGTCCATTGGGCTCAAGTGAAGGTAAATTTTATGAGACTAATGTAACAATTGTTCCAGCTAAACCAGAAGAAAGTGCACCTCTCAAAATGGCTTTTGACAAAGTAGTTCCATGGAAAGAGATACACGGTGAAGGAGGAATAGCATTTGAAGGTGAATTAGTTTTACCACCAAATGCCAATTTTTCATCAGTTGATTTATCGATTCGAGAAATTGATTCACCAACTACAGCACTGGAAATTTGTCGAGTAACAATAGTAACAATAGGTAATAGTTTGCCATGCACTAAAGCACTAGAACCTTCATTGGCCACTCATGTGGCCAATTTACCAGGCAACCTCAGCCAAACTAAAACAATATCGTTTGGTGACGTTTGTTCAAAATATGCTCCAAATAAAGCTGCAATAGCAGCTACCAAAGATCGAACCATAAATGCATTTATAGCCATCAAAGGAATCGAAGGAATTGATACCTCTTCAAATCGAACACTTGAGGTAACATGGACTGGAGACCCGAGTGGACCTTGGGTACAACGTTTAACAATACCAATTGTTCTTGGTGCTGAAATACCTACAGTAGCATCCAAGTTACCCAAAATTTTGGTAACTAAAACAACACCTGGTTCGACTGGTGTGGGCCAACCAACGACCGGATCAATCATGATGCTTTTGGCTACACAATCAACCGCCGATTATACTATTGAAGTTTTTCCCACCCAACCAGACTCAAATTCATCTATATGTTCAATTTGGATAAAATCAGTGGGCCATAATATGGCCTGTTTTGACGGTAAACCATCCACAGTTTTGGAAACAAGACGAATGGGTTTAAACTCTAAAGCTACACTTCACCTTGGGGTTATATCAAACTTGGGTCCTTTGAGAGAACCATTGCCTACTGAAGAGGAAGAGGAAGCAGACAAAATAAGATTGATGACAATGGTGGTTTTATCGCAAACTGCAACGACAGATGAAAGATTTGATGTAGTTATTAAGTCGGGAAAACATTCAGAGCGATCAGCTTTCCTTGTACCAATTAATCGATTTCCCAAGCCTTTAAAATCAAAAGCTGATGGTTTTGAGATAATTGACGGAGTTGATGAAAAACTACGCGTTCCTATCGGTGGGCCAGCATCTGTACGGATGAGAATAATGGTTAAGCCTAATTCAATGGTACAACCAGTTTTGACTTTTACCCCATCGAAATGGTACAATATTACCGATTTTGAAGTAAGCTCAATCGGACAAAACTATCCATGTTATTCACCCTTCTTAACATCCAAAGATTTAGCAAAAGGCTCGTTTGCTCTTGGCGTTATCTCAAATGCCAATGTTAACAAAAGTTCTGAAGCTAATTGGATAGAGGTTACAGCTGCAATCAAAGTTTCTCCCAGTGCTACTCCTGGTCAGCTTATAAAATTTGAAGTTAATCTTGAAATTCCTGGAGCTGAATTGAGTGATAAATATGAATCAAAACTGCTTGCAGTGAAAAATATCGATCCAATTGTTCCCACGTTGGTTTGGATCAATGAAACTGTGCTTGAAGAGCAATTATCTGTAAGAGAAACCCGTTGGATAACTTTTAATATAACCACCAATCCTGATTGGAGATCAAGATTTACTGTTGATGCCACCGGGGAGATAATCGATGGGCGGCCGATCGTCTCTGTTCGAGACGTGAGAGTCAGTCGTTTGGGTCGTAATTTACCAGGCTCTTTACCGCCTACAGTCAACGTAATATTAAATACAACGGAGAATCGAATAACTGGCGTATTTGATTATACAGCCAACTTTGGATTCTCTCATCGAATCGATGCAGCCCTTGAAGGTGATGATACCATTGAGATTGAAGTTTTGGTACAAATGATGAGTCATTCCGCCGCTCTGAATGGAGGTGAACCACGAGCCAACCGGGTTACCCTTCGGTTCATGGTTGAATCAAACCAAGGCCTTCAAGTTTTGGCTCAAGGAGATCGTTTCGTAAAAACGATTCCAGGTACTTTATCCGCAGCGTTGATGGATATTGAAAGTGAAATTAATGGTCCGCATCGCATCTTTACTAGAGGTGAAACAGCACCAATCCGAGTCGCTGTGAAACATGCCGATGTTTCCAGATATGAGCCCCTTGAGGGTAACATAAGAGTCTACATGCCTCCATACGTAGCCTTAAAATCTTTGGTAAATTCCTCGCGAATGGTAACAGTAAATCAACCAAGCAATAAAACCTACTTCGATATAAAGGTGAATAAATTAGTAGACATAAAAAATAAACTACTAAATAAAAGTCATAATTAAAACAGTAAGATTAATAGTGAAACTTACTTCTTTTTTTTGCTACTCTATAAACAGGTTCCAGTTGTTTTGTTTTGGGAAACCGTCAATATTGATTTGAATTTAATTATTGATCCAGATAAATTAATTGGTTATGGGCGAGGAAATATACCAACAACACTTTTAATTACAATGTTTGAAGGAACCAAATTAATTTCAAAGTTTTATCACATTTCACTAACGTATAAATCAGATGGTAATTATACAAGCAAAAAATCAAAAGACTTTCCCTTTCCTTTTTGCCTCTTAAAAAAGAAACGTCTGAAAGCATTAAAACCAGCTAACAGCACAAAAAGCATAACAAGCCAAATCAATAGACACCATTAGCATAATCAAGAGCTGACAATGATTACAAAGCTGAAAGAAACATTAAGTTAATTCAACACAATCTTATTATTATAGTCAAGTTAAACAAGAGTTATCATGATTGTTATTATGCATTTATTTAAATTGAGTTGAATAGGAAAAAGAAAACGTTGAAAATTGAAAAATTTACATTTGTTGAGTGGCAACTTGAAGCTAATAGCAAATCAAATGTTCATTTCAGATCAGCATCCAAGCCTAACAAAAGGGTTTCAACCCTGATTATTAAAACAATACAATCCATTATTGAATGTTAATAATAAATGTCAATTAAGACGTTTAATCAAAGTCGTTAATCACAGCTGTCAACATTGATGAAAATTAACATTGAATGTTGACTTGAAAATGGCAAAATAGACTCAAAAAATCTGGTTGAACCAGAAAACGTTTGATGGCGAAATGTCTATTTACAATTAATATTGCAATCAATTTAGAAATTGTGAAAAATTGTGAATCAAACAAAATGTTAACCTAATTATCTAATTGACTTGTTTGCTCATCTTTAATCATTTGAACGAGCAAACATGATTGTGAATTGAAAAACGTTTACTTGATTAACATTACATACATAAAATTGAAGCTTTGTTAAGGTTTCAATTGTTTATTGTATTCATTTATTCATTAGCCAATTGGTTGATTAATCAATTGAAATACGAGGAAAGCAAGAAAAAAACATTTGTTCATTGAACAATTCATTAATTTGATTATTAAGAAGCATTTCAATGTTCAAGTTTAATGAAGGATGGCAAAAATGAAAGGCAAAATAAAACCTCTAAATTCAATTGACAACTATTTATGTATTCAGGTTGATTCAATTGAACAATCAATTTAATTCTTAAGCTAATTGCGTTTGGTCAACCTAATTAGTAGACTTCAATGATAAAAAGATGTTGACTTTAAAAGATCCTCTTCAATTGAAATCAACTTTCCCTATTCACAACCATTGCCATTCCCTGCTTTTCACCAATCATTACAATCAAATGAATATTAACAAATTAAAGATTCCTCATTATTTACTTAACCATTTCCATATCTAGTTAACTGTACAATTAGAGACTTGATTAGTTGCTTGAAGGCAACCTCATCTTGTTACTGGTTAGGTTAGGTTATGATGAGAAATGTAACCTAAAAATGGATCGATTCAATCCATTTTTGATTCCATCTTTAATTGCTCTCAAATTTTGACATTGATACCTTCACATGAAACTCTGAACACATGAACAGTCTCAACAGTTGAATGCAATAATTTTACCTTCTCAAACAGAGCAAAATTGATTATTTGAAAAGTAAAATTCAGATTATTGACAAGATAATTGAAAACATGGCGAGTGAAATTTTTCCCAATCAAATTGTGACTTGAATTATCCTTTTATTTCTTGTTAACATTTACCTTTAACTGTTAACAGTTTTCAATCTTGACAAGAATATTAAATAACTTCATCTGATATGGATTTATCTGAATAGTAAATAGTGGAATGGAATAGCAAATGAAAGGAAAATGAGAGAAAAATTTTTTCTCCTCAAAAAATAGATGAAAATTTTTCCCTTCATTTTGCATGTGAATAAAGTATTACAGCTTTTTTTTGGTTAAGTAAAGAAAGAATGAAATTATTTTATTTCAACATTTCATTCACCTTTTTCAATGTTTACAAGTTTCAAATGATTTAGTTATACATTTTTCATGCTGATATTATTTATATTATCATTATATATTAATATTGCATTCAGATTTGTTATTTGATTGAGAAGTAAAAAGAAACAAAACAAATTCAAAAATTTTGCTCAACATATTTTTTGATTGAAAATGCCAGATTCCGTTTGGTGAAAACTGGGAACAAAAATGTTTCTATTTTGCATTCAATTTGTTTCATACAAATGACATTTCATGGTGATTGTCCAAAGTTCAAGGTTTTAAATATTTACATCGATAAGTTTCAAATGAGATTTGATAAGCTAAACCTAAAGATCTGGGTATAACCATGAAGAAAAGTCTGAAATAACATTTTAATAGAAGATTGAAGATCATTAAATTGGTATTAAAGTTGCCAGAAAATTGAACCGAAAATTAATCTTGAAATATTTCGTTTTCACATTTAGATTGTTTCAACCAAATTGAGTTGGAAGATTGTCAGATAACTGGTTCAAGTGGCATCAATAAGACATTTGGTCCAGCCCAATCAAAGCTATCATCTGGTTCAGTTTGGATTGCCTCTCCAGCCTCACCATTCACCAATGATTTCCTTGAATATGATTTACTAACTCGAACCCGAATCACTGGTATCCAATTGGTTCAACCAAGTACCTTTAAACGGCTCATTAGGAGCTTCCACTTGGAGACCAGTGAAGACTTGTCAATTTGGCAGCCAGCAACTCCAACCATCCAGGTCAGCTCTATGAGTGTACCAGCCAAGGGTGTAGAGGGTTTGGTTGAGGTTCAAGTGAGTGGTTACAATGTCGAGACTCGTTACTTGAGATTCATCATTGACTCACTTGGACCCTACTCCGATCCAACTGATTTGATGGGAGTCAAGGTAGGCCTTCTAGGTTGCAGATTGCCTGGTTCATTGGGTACTTGTGATAACACCAAGTGGACCTGGTATGATGAAGATGAACAACACAAAACGAAACACTTTCTTTACGCACCAGATCATGCAACTTTGTATGGTTGCCAGTTTCAAAACCATCCCAAGTAAGTCCATCATCCTTAATCATCATTAACTCTTCCTTAGCATCCTAACCTCATCCCAGGCATCCCTGAAACCCTCTTGATAATTGTTTTATTCAATGATTAATTATCTAGCAAAGAGTTGGATTGAAAAAAAGTAACAAAATTCATCTCAAAAAATCCTTTTTCGTCTTTGAAAAGCCTTTCTAATTTTAAACTTCCCTACCAATTTAACATTGATTGCTGTTCATGTTTAAACGATTGACTGAGTTAAATTACAAATAATATATCTAATTAAGTTAAACAATGATGAAGTTGACTTGAAAAAAGCAATCTTATGCATATAATGAAACCCAGTAGTTAGACTCGATTGAAGGCACAAAAAAAAGTGAAACTAAAAAGCATAACATTAATGAATTATCCATTGAAGTAATTTTAGGTAAATTAATTAACAAATGTAATCAAAGCGAAAAAAATGAATGTAAACAAATAAAGACAAATTAAGTTGATTATTTTGCACGAAAACGGGTTAATTGAAGAGTTTAGGTGCAAAAATGAGCATTAATTTTAATTAAAATTGCTCATCAATAATAATAGTTAGCCTTTTTCCTCTAATTATCATCATTAATAACGTTTCAAATGTTTTCTTACCATGAAAATGAAAACAAAAAAACCAGTAAATTGTTAATATTACCTGATTGATGATGCACTTTTTACTGATCAAATTTTGGGCCTTTTTTGTATCTTGTATTATTGATTGTTTTTCATATTCAGTTGAACAATGTAGAGATGAATCAAAGTATAAATCAATCGGTGAAATAGTGAAATGAATCAAGATAATCAGTTTAAGTAATAAGATGGAGGAAAGATGGACGATCTAATGAGACAGACAAAGTTGTAAACTAAATTACAATTTTATATTGATCATCAAAACATGTAATATTAATAGCTTATCCAACTTGTCCGTTGATCATTCCCAGTCATTAATCATCACTATTGATTATTTACTTTGATTATTTCCTTTTCTTCTTCCATTTACCAATTCAATTTCACAATTGACCTTTGTTTCATGGCCAGTAATTCAATAGTCCAAGTGACACTATTTCACCCACTTGTTAACGATAGAGTTCAAATTATGGCTCTGAATACCAGATATTCACTCCTTTTGTGTAACCATATCATGAGTATTCTCATTGTTCAATTAGACTGCATGAATGCATGACCCGATTTTGACTCATAATTCCAAATGTCCGTCACAACATTTTCTTGTCCATCCAGAAAGGATGTTGCTCAAAAATCTGGTCAAAATAGATTTTCCTTTTTCAAAACAAAAGTCATTCCTTCGCTCAGATCAATAACCACAAAACTCACTTCTCAATATTGCCGTTAGTCGAAATTGATTTCTTTGGTTTCGAGGAATGCTGACAATTATCATCATCATGACTAACCTTCGTCGTCATCACGTTATTGACGAAGGAATCATTTGGCTATTTTCAATTTCTGAACACAAGTAGACGATAAATTGCTGCTGAATGAATGATGAAAAGGATGATAGTTAAGGAAAGCTAGCAATTAACTTGCGAAGATAATTATATGTAAACATTGTTGAACTTGGTCAGTTATTAAATTAATTGAAGCCATTGACGATAGGAAAGGTTATCAGTGGATGGATGAATAGGATTGCTCATTGTTTCGAGTGGAACTGGGAGTGAAAAATATGACTGGAGTTATAAGGGAATGATAAAGTTTTCTTGATTCCTCTTGCAAGGTCAACATTAATTCCCTGTTGGAAGGCATTTTTGTTGGTCAATATTGACCGGAAAAACATTTTTACCAAGACATTTAGTATTGATATAATCTTGTTGATCCTCATGATATTTCAGCTTCTACTTCATGTTATATCAATAAATATCCTTATTCATCTTCCGTCAAGATCACATTTTTATTCGTTTTCATCTTCCTTAATAACATTTCCACCTTTTATGTTTTATTTATTTTTTTCTTCTTCTTCTTCTTCTCTCGTTGCCTGGTTTTCTTGTCATCTTATTGTCCTCTTCATTTTCATCGTTATCCACCTTATCACAGGAATCCTCATGATAGCAACCTTGACCACAACATTTTCAATCTCAAGCTAATTATCAATACAAAATGTTATAAACAAAACTCTCAACTAATGTACTAAAACCAAATCTGTCTTGCTGCAAACCATTATTACCATTTGATATCACATTATGATTATTATTAAATAATTCAATGGAACATGGAATGGTTGTGAAATAACATTATATTCATCAGGAAATTGTCATGTTGATGGTATCATGGATATGATTTCTGGTTAGAAACAGGTTAAGCCTCAATCATATAATTATCATTAGTATAATCACAAGGAAGCAAAATGTTATAAAAATGTCTTTCCAATCTATCGATTTGTATAGAGGCTGGTCAACATTTGCTCAATATCTTAAAATAGATCAATGGTTTTAGGCTTAAAAACAATAATCAAAACTCAAAGTTGATTAATCAACTCACCGTCAATCAACTTTAACCTTTCATCTAATCAAGATAAAAGCAAACAGTCAAAATATGGATCAAGTCAAATAAATTATCTTCTTGTTACAATAATAAAGCAAAAAACTAAATGATAGTTTTAAACTCCAAGCTACCAAATCTCTAGTCTTTAAACAAACTCAAATTTTATCTAAATTTACATGATTTTCAATTCAATTTATAATAAAAGAAGGCAGAAAATCGAGAGAAAATAAAAGACTTTGATCATCTTCTCGTTCTTGATTCGACCTTTATTCAAACAAATCTCGATTCTTTCATCTTCAAATCATTAATAATATTATTATTAATCACCACCATTAATAGGACACAAATAATGCCATTTACATTTCTTTTGAGTCTGTATTGAACCAAGTCCTGGTTAACTCCCAGCTTGCACCACCAGATATAGTTATCGGTACTTGGCTTGGGTTAGCTGTCTTCAGGTTTTTCCTGACCAACAAGATCCCTCCAAGTAATATCTGGTATCCTTGAGTTAGGTTAGCAACAACGAAGCAAACACTTATCTCTGGTGACGATTTATATATTATACTAACGTAACTTGGTGGTCTTCAGGCCTTCTCTGAAGACCAATGCGTCTTTGGCCGAGAGCACAACTCGTGTCTACCCAGTCTGGAGTGTGGACTTGGAGGCATTTCTAAGTGAATAAACCATTGCCTTTAAAATGTGATTCCTTACCCAATCCAACTTAACCCAAAAAGCAGCTAACCTAAAAATGGAAAAACTTGATTTTAGATTTTTTGGGTTAAAATCTTTTTATCAAAAGTTATCGGTTAATTATTGGTCAAAATTATATGATCAAAGAAATGCAATTTAGTAAAGTGTTGAACTAATGTCTGAAGCATCATTTAGGTTGAAGGGAATGATGAATCTGGAGAAATGCTCTGTTAAATGAAATTGTTTCTGTTGATTAACAATAACATTATCTTTATTTTCATTTGATGATGAGAAATGAAATTTTTATGCATTATTAATGAGAACTGAGAAATGTTATCAAACATGATTTATCCATTTTGAGAAGCTCTTTGTCATTTGATATTTTAACTTGATCATTATGATTACCATTAGAAATATTATGATTATCATTATTATTGATAACTCATCAGGAATGAAATAAAATCCATTAAGAGTTATTTAATCGTTTGCATGGTTATACGATTATCATAACCATCAATATAATGATATAAATGGCAATCTTTCCTCTGGTCGCTTCATTTTCTGATTGTTAACTGAGATTGACAATAACAGTTTCAATGAAAGTTATCAGTTAACAATAATTGTTATCACAACATATTCAACAATATAAGTCCATCCAAGTGTGAAAATTGTACCTTTAATAATCAGTAAATGGTAATGATAATATTATTCAATGTGAGCGTTTCGTCAATTGGCAGTCTTTGTGCAAAGTCAAAGTGCTCTGCAAAGTAAATAAATTGCTCATTCTTGATGGGTTTACATGAAACATGCTGATAATCAATTGAGGTAAAAAGAAGCGAAATTTGTTTCTTTTCCCTTTATTCAAGGCAAGGAAGAAAGTAAATTTGTTAAACTTGAGTAAATCTCAACTTTTTTTTACCTTTTTCTTTCCATTCCTTTTTTGCCAGTTATTCAAGTTTCAACAACTCACAATATCATTTGGTTCATTCAACATGATAATGTAACATGCATTTGCAAGATAATAAATAACAACTAATAATTTCATGTCAACTTTAAACAAAACCCAAAAGTTGAGCAAAAATTTTACTTCAAGTATTGCTGAAACATCATCTTGGTCATCAATTTTTGAGAGCAAATTTTCACTCAAGGATGAGACTTTTGTTCAACAAAACAAAAGCTTTACTTGTAACAATTTCAATTTGATTGCTCATCAAAAATGTTAATTAATCTTTGTTGTTCCCAAATTTAATCCAACCTGATCGATTCAGGCCGAGTTTGGGGTTCCATTAGAAGGTTTTTTATCTCTGAGCGATGGTCAAAAAGAGTTGAATGTTGAACTCAAAGCTGAGTTAATCCAAGTCTAAATGTTGTGTTTTAAATCTATTCCAAGCTCGAATGCTTCCAATCATTAATCTAAATATGCAGCAAGTCTCCATGCAATATTCAGAAAGATTGTGAGCAAAACATCAATCCATATTCAGACTAAAAACTAGAGAAACATTAGTTATGTTAGATTTGCGTGTTTCTAGAAATGATCTTGAACCTTTTACAATGCTAAGTTTGTATCAACACTAATCAAATTATTAATTATTAATAGTTACTGAAGGTTAATTCATCAATGATTTATTTTGCGCTAGAATTGAAATAAGAATGAAAATTAAAACAATTTATTGCACAAAATGTATTTCCTTTGATCACTTAAAGGGCTAAATGGACTTGGAGCTAGAAAGGTTTTTCAAAATCAATTTGGTTCACTTCAAGAAAGTGTAAAATTTCCTCCAATTCATTGCTATTCAAGTCTAATTTACTTTTATATTAATATCAGTTTCCACAACTAGCTTGACCTGACTTTCGCATTCACCAAATCTCTTGTTTTTGTTTGTTTGCAAAGCCAATTGATTGATTCTTGTTTGAACTGTTTTGTATTGCAGTAACACTGAATGTTTCCGATCAAAAAATGGAGGAGATTCTTGGTTCAAGTTACCTTCGTTGGTTCACTCATTGATTGGTTATCATTCTGCAACTGGTCGTGTTATTGGTCGAGACTCGAGTAGAGGGAAACTTATTTATACCAAAGATGGTACCAAATGGTCACCGATGAGTACCAAAGAATCAACTGCAATCCAGGATTCGCCTGATTCTTTGATCCCAGTCAAAGTTATTGGACAATCTTGGGATAAATTTAGGTTTACTTCATTTGACATTAAATATTCAGGTCACAGTAAACTTCAATGGATCTCATCATGCCATTAGCCTGACTTTACTTTATTCATGGGTGAAGATTGGAAGGAACCAACGAAAACAACGTTTTCATCAGTATTGTCATCATTCACATTCATTATCAATCTAACCTTTGAATCTGTCTCGTCTCTTTTGGCAGTTCAACATTTCCTTCAACTTGCTTTCTGCTTCTCTTCATGTCATACTTTATTTTGATCAATCGTCCGACATTGAACAGTGCAACTTGACTACTCAAAAGTAATCAATGTAAAAACAATTTCAATCAAAGTAGACATTTTTATTCTCCTTGAATCGCGTTATTTATTTCAACTAATCACTTTTTTCATTCTCTCAATCAATCCCAGAATGCATTTACTGTCAATTAAAAAAGCTAAATGTTATTAGTTCAACCATAAAATTGGTCAAAACTTAGAGATTATCTATTCTAATAAAACTATTAAATCATACTCAACGAAAGAAAGGAAATTGCATCTTCAAATAGATTTCAATCAATAAAACAAAATCGTACAAAATCAAAACGATCAGTTCAACGAATCATTAATTGCAAAAGTAAAAGTGTTTTGAAACAATAATGCACTCTGAATGATCTTGAATTGAAGGCTGGCAGATGCTTTAACTATAACTTTATTGTCGTCCAGAAAAGCGTTTTAATCAAACTTATAAGTGAATTAGACATTGCTTGTAAACGGATATCCACTTGTAAATAGAGGTATACTGGCCTTAGCCTTGAGTTAGTTGATGAACAGAGAAGCCAGTCTAAATGTCAAGTCTTTGGTGGTTGATGCTAACGTCAACGTAGCTCAGGCTGTTATATTAATGGATCTTCACGAGTTTAATGCATAAATGACACAACAAACGCTTAGAAGAGTGATTCAGTCTCATGTTTACAATATTGTCGATTGTCAAATCCAATAATATCAATGACTTTGCAAATGAGAACCTTTTTTACGTGATTTTGCATTCAAGTGGAAGAAGTGAAACCTCTTCAAGAGCATTACAACGTATTTCTGATCATTAAGATACTATTATTAATATAAATTCATTGTAAATGCTCATAACTTGAGACTTTTCATCTCTATTCGAGTGTTAGCATGGCAATTTTCTGTAAACTTTTGCCCATTTCTTATGCTATTGAATGCGTTTATCGATTTCTTCAAAAGAATATTGGCTTCGCTTCGAATAACCTAATAATACCTGCTAATAACCGATTTATCGTTGCAATACTGATTGAAGGGAACGTAAAAAATCAAAAGGAAAGTATTTGCTTAACTTCGTGAATCAAATCGCATTCATTTTGAGTTTAATTAGACAGTTCAATTGGACGTTAGACATTCATTTTTGAATAAAACTCTGACTCCAAGCCAAAAAATTACTCTAAACCAGAAAGATGTTTCACTTTTGCGAAATGCTGATCGAATTATTTTTAATCAATTTACAAGGTTCGATGGATTAAACCACAGAGAATGTTGAAAATAATGATTGCTTCTGGCCAAAGTCTAAGATTACAGTCTTAATCAACTATGAAATCTTAAAAGTTAGGTAATTCCTCAGGTCAAAGCAAGTGAAGAGGAATGGCAAAAACTCATCAATGGAACATTTTGCTTCTCCTGAAACAAACCGACTGACCAAACGAACCCTTCAATTGATAAACAAGCCATTATTTGATTTAACTTTTTCTCAACCCAAATCCTTTGATCGATCTACTAAAAGCATCTAATGTCCATTTGATATGAAAATGTGAAACTTGTGAAACAGTTAAATGTTACTTTTCTCGGTGAGAGCTTTAAAAACTTTTAAAGTGTTACATTGACTAGTAAACAATGGCAAGGTAAACAGACAGGTGAATCATTTCAAGATGAAATAAAGCAGAATTGAATTCAAGACTTGAAAATATTCAAGACTTGAAATATAAAAAAGTGACTGCAAGTTATTGTAATGAAGAAAAAAGAGTTTCATCATTTACTTTGTAAATAAAGATTGTTAATGTTCTGAAAGCTGATGATATTTATGTATAAAAAGCATTTCTGTTCAATGTTATCTTCAACTTTATTTCATCTGATCATTTTGATAGCATTAAAATAATAAAATATTTCTCGATCCCAGTGAACCATTTCGAGAGCATTTTTCATGAAACAAAATGTTGCCAAAAGTGAAAGTAAACATTTCACGGTAAGTTATTTTTTCCTCATCATTTTCATTGCAACTCCCATTCACGTTTGGATGGTTTCTTAGCCTTCATTAGAATCATCATCATCATAATCACCATGAACATTCCTCTCATCATCCATTCTTAAAGATCTCATCATGTTGGGTCATCGCATTCTCAATGTTGCCTCTGAAAGGACAAAATTGAACAACGAAACAGAAGAGACTCAAAATATGATTGCAATCAACCAAGCAATAAATCTTGCGGTTCGCTTGTTTAACTATCAAAAAGTAAGGAATCGAGTAAAGTAAAATAGTTATGAAAACAGGAAACTCATTAAACTTCATCTGGTTTCATTCAATACTCAAGTTCATCAGCAAGCCTTGCCATTTTCATGGTGCAACATTTTTCCTTCATAATTCATTGTTAAATGAGATTGAAAAAAAGGAGAAACAATAAAGATCCAAGTTGACCAGATTTGGGTTCAATTTGAATTTCGACAATTCAATGTTTCTCTTTTGACAAAATCACTAACCATGTACACATGTTTACATTCATGAGAAACTTTTTGAAAAATGAAACATTTATTAGAACAGTTCTCTTCAAAATTCAAATTAAAAATGAATAACTGCTTCCATTGTGACTACACTTTTCAGTGACTTGAGTCCAATGATGATGAGCAGAGCAGTGAAACAAAATCAACCTGACAAGTAGCTTGACTCAAGTCACAATTTTCCTTCTTGGTTCCCTTCGAATGGTGCTTTTAGCAGTAAAATGTTTGCAAACACTTGAAGGTTAGCTTTGCTTTTTCATCAACTTGCAAGTTCTGACTTTTTTGTTTTGTATTTTGTTTACCAACTAAATAATTTGATGCTAATTTTGCCATATCAATATATTAATGTCTCTTCAACATATCAATATATTCATGTTTTTAAATTTTCCCATTAACTTGCTTCTTCCAAAGTAAAATGGTGAACATTTCGATGCATTTTTTTCTCCTTCTTCTTCTCGTTCCTCTATTCATGAAATCAATATCAGTCCATATGCTCATCTGAATATTTACCCACACAAAATATTCACAGCAAAGTATATCATTTTTGTAGGAAGGAAACTTGTCGATAAAAGAAACTCCCAAAGATAATTTAACCTTGCAACGAATCTGGCACATTGTTGGCTTGTTTATCATTATCATGTCCAAGATAAAGTGGTTCGTTGAAAGGATCTAAAAGTAAGAGAAATGTCGAGTTGAATGCCAGTTAAAATAAACTTGAATCTTGTTCATTTGTGTGAATTTAATTGACCCAAAATGATTGGGAAAACTTTTTGTTTCCTCTTTACTCGATCAAGATTGTCTGCTGAAAAATGTTGAGCATTCAAGAGCATTACAAAGACCAACTTTGATCAATTTTTTTACATAAATTGTGAATATCAGTAACAAGAATGGTTGTTGTGCTTTGAAAAATTGCAAGCCCGTAAGGTGTGTATTCACTTTGAGTATATTTTTACTGAAAGTAATTTTCATAAGAAAAACATTTTCCCTTCATTTTTATTCCCAGTCAATCCGGCTGAATATCAAACAGATGGATAACCTGAAGGTAGAAGTAAACTTTCATTTTTCATGCTGTTTATCCATCTGATTATCAATTCTTAGAAAAAGATATGAAAATGATGATTCATTGAAGGATGAAAATGTTATTAGCTTATCCAAACTTGTGTTACACCAATATTAATATTAATTGCAAGGCAAGAAAAATGATTGACAATGAAAACACTTTCAACTGTTGAGAGCAAAACATGACTGCGCTAGCTTCAGATACAACCTTTCAAATGTTTTGCCAAGTTGCCAAGTTTTTAAAAGCTTTTCAATTTGTCTAAAAGCTCAGTTTGCTATTGAAAATTGTCAAGCATTCCCACTGAGTTGATTCAGTGAAATAATCGGAAACAAAATCAACTTATTGGTTTATTTAATTTAATGTTTGGCAATTTTGATCGTTAAATATTTATGACTTTAAAATACAGAAAGTTTAAGAGGTGAATCCAGTTTGGAGTTTACAGTTCTTGGACAGAAAACGATAAAATCAGAAAGATTTTGTACTGCAGTTGATTTGCAGTGCAATTTAATGTCGCTAAAGATTTGAAGGTTTCCTATTAAATTCGTGTCAGACGATGTTCTTGGTTAGAAGACAAATTTTGCGAATATTGTTGGAATAAGAAAATATCGAAATCTCAATTATGATTGAGATCGCATTTGGATCAATCTCATTAAGGTTTAATTTTTCATCAACAATGAAATTTTAACTGAAATTGAGCTTCTATGGTTTCATTGAAAACGATATAAAACATGTGAGGACTCGATTGAAACTTGAACTGAAACTTTTTCTCCCAGAACTGTCATGAATTTGAGAACATTTCATCCATGAATATTGAATATCGCAGAAAGTATTATGACGTTTACTGAGAGGTTTCAGATCTGAATCTAGTAAATGAAATTTTAGTCAAAAGCATTCTGGAAAAGGCTGAATCTGTACAAGGTTAGACAGTAACTTGAAAATCTTTTCTGGATCATCATTCTATTCAGACGAGATTAGGATGATTCAAGTTTCATCTTCACGTTAATTGATACACATTGAGAAACGGTTGCACAATGCTAACAAGAAGATAGAAAATTTCGCGAACTTTTGTTCCAAGTTGATCACAATTACTGTGAATATGGAATAATATTGTTGAACAAAACTAAAAAAAATTCAAGTATCACTTCATTCAGTTCGTTTTGTTCATCCAACAATTTTTCATTTTCATCTATTCAATTCAATTTCATTGTGAATCAGTAAACTTTAAATATGCAATATTTGTACATCTATAATGGAAGGAAAGATGTCGATTTGAAATGTTGATCCATAATTGCTTTTGCTTATTGAACCATTTCAATTTATTCAAAGAATTTATCATTTCTCGAAATCTTTGACAAAATTTTCTCTAAATAGTTTAATAACAAAAAAGTCACTTCTCAATAAACGTAAAGATGGTTCAACCGATCAACAAGCAACGAACAAAAATGAAGCAAAAACTAAACAAATCGAAGCAAAAGAAATAGGAAAATGTCTCAACATTAACATCAGATGCTCTTAAGTCTTGGACTTTATTGCTCGAGTCAAATGTCCAATGCTTTGGGAATGCAAATCAATGGTTTCCAGCATTTGTTCTGATATGAATAAATCTTTGTTGGAATTGTATCTTTTTGTTGAGTTGATTGAACGATGTCACTAAGCATTGAGATTGCTAATGAAATTGGATTGAAAATGTAAACTATTCAA